CGATACTCCTGTCTAAAATAGGAATCAGAGGACCCTTATTTTTACCCCAAATGCAAGCTCAAATAATCAGCTTTATTTTAGACTCTTTCATTACCCTTTGAATACAGTCCTTATGTAATTTTTCTCAGGTATTCTGAGCATCTAAATATTCTTAAAATCTTTAGACTTTTCAACCATGTATTTATTATTAAAGATGACACTTTCAAAGTTTTTCTTTGCTCTATTCTTATACTCCTTTACCCAGTCCAACTTCTTGATAGTATGTTCATCCTTCAGAAATACTCTTTTCCCCACTTTGACCTCTTTATATTGACTAAAGTTAATACCTACTTGATTGTCTTAACAGAGGCATAGGATGCAACATCATTACACAATTCTGATAAGGGCTAGTAGCATACCTTCTTAGACTCTCTAACTAGGTAGCAACAGGTTCTGATATCAATAATTTTAGGTCTTTCAGTAAATGGGCAGTTTTTTCCATTACATATCATTTGAAACTCATTATTACAACTTTGAACTGTACTCTTAAGGGGATGAAAGAGCTCTCCAATCTCAGAAAAAGCAATATTTTACTTCCTTAGAGCAAAAATTTGCCTTCTCTCAAACTCTGTAAGGTAGCCTGTCTTTTTGAGAGGCATGGTTGTTGAGTAGTGGTTGATTAAGGAGGTGGGGTTTTTGAGGTGTTGCTTGGTAACCACCAATCGGACGATCCCTTTTGTCCTAGTACTTTACCATGCGCTTGGCATACAAACCTTTCGGATACCATCCACCAAGAAATATACCATTAAAAAATGTAAAACCTTCAGCTATGATCGCGGTTTCTATCGCAACAGCGAATGGACCGTCAAAACAAAGGAACTCCATCCGTGCACTTAGAGATAAATAGAGTAAAAAAATAAAAACAATTGAAATATGTCAGTAGAAATTCCACACTACAAGCACACCTGATCGCGATAGGAAAAAATTAAGAGGGGGCTCAGGTGGAAACCGATAGGAAGGAGGCGTGGGTGGTGGGGAGGGGAGAAACATCATAAAGGTATAGAGGTTACCTTTATTCGGCTAGTTGATAATCCTGAAATAATCCAATACTTGCTTCTGGCATCCTAGTCATGGTTTCATTTTTTTGAATGGTATATTTCTCGGTCGATGGTATCCGAGAGGGTTTCTCGCCAAGAGCATGGTACTGAAAAGGTTTGCTCTTTGTGTATTTATGGCATGTTGCGAATAGGCAAACAATCATTACGTACCGGATCATACTGCAGAATGAGTCACGTTTTCTCCGATCTGGGAATCTGATAATCTAAGCCTATTGTCTGATTAGATTATCAGATTCCAGATCAGATTATTAGATTATTAGATAACCACGGATTCCAACATGCTGGGGCGGCAGCGATGCGCCAGATCGCGGTGCGTAGCCCCTGGAGGAACTTGTTGTTTGCTCAGGAGGATCAAAAAAAGGATCCTAACGCGCCCCAAAGAGGCATCCAGGGCACCGCTTTCGGACCCTCATCGTGAAAGATCACTCGCTATTCAGATTCAACTTTCCTGCAGCAACCCGAATCACCCACGAACATTCCGAGGAACCTCCGAGATGCACCCCCCAATACACACACAGCCTGCAGGAAAATTCCCTCTCCGGCATAGGCTAGCCTACCAGTTGACAGCCCTTCTTAACGCATGTCGTACTCGCAACGAAAGAACCCCCTAGTGCCGCGGGTAAATTTCAACATTCCGGGTATAGCCCCAAAGCCCAGCCTATTTCTACTCTCCCCACCGAGTAAGAGACCCGTCACCGGCATTTCCAAAGGGCACATTCTCAGAGTGCATGCGCGCCCAGGACAACCCCCGGCAGGGCGGAAGGTGCACAATGGTACTTTGAGAGATAGGGTCCAGTTGGTCGGAGTGACCATCGGCCGAACGAGGGCTGCTCTGGTGGGACGTTTGGAGGGAGTGTTTGGTGGTCATATTTGATATTGGAATTTGATATTTCGAAGTATCTTCTCGTACTTGATCGGTTTATACATTGACAGGGCAGTCGCTTCACCGAGCTCGAGATAGCCGGAGCACACAAACACAATTTCTGGTACATTGCGCGACTAAAGCCTTGGGAGGCTTACTGGCACCGGGAACAGCGAAGTGGGGGAGTCGATCTCACTCAATGGGAATCCCGACAACGATGAATCCTTGCCAACCTTGTACCGTAGTAGTAGTTTGTGTGTATGTTGTGATTCTCTGCGAAGTTCTTCCCCAGTTTCATACTCGAATCGAGTCTGGGATGGTGTCTGGCCGACGCCTTATAGTAACGTCCAAGCGTGCCCCCCCCCCTGAATAAACCTCATTGAGCAGCGGGACGTATATCTGCAATTTTACCACCTGAACTCATCTCCACTTAGGGGGGCTAGTGATCGTGGTAGAGCAATTTTAGACATTGCACCTACGATTCTGGATGAGGGTCTCCTTTCTATGAGGTTTCACAAGGCGCGTATGGTGCAAATAGTGCCGCCGGTGATCGTATATTAGCAAGGCGGCCTCCGCACGGTACCGTTCCGGGGCTCCGCCTGCTGCTACAGAGGGCGGTGAGGATATGGTAATTCTCGGGTGATTGTGCGTGATTTACGAACATTGTCGGCCCTTGCCCGGATTCCGTCGCATATCATCTGGAGTTCTAGATTGTGGTATCACACCGTGCAACGCTTAATCCTGCGCTCAGATATATACCCTTAGGCCCTGTTTGGTTGCACTGGGTCCATTCCGTTCCGTTGTAACATACAAATGATCATTCCCATTTCCATTCCAAAATGGAAGAACTAGACTAAATGGCTGTTTGGCAATAGTAAAAGGCATCAGCCGGTCCATTTCAGTCCATTCCAGGAGAGCCCTAACACAACAGTTGTCATGTAGGAATATCACATGCCAGTGTAAACATTGAGAATATCAAGGTAATAATTATTTGACTGCGGAATAACTTCATTTAGTATAGTATGCACATACTTCAAATTAAACTAGTCACTGATATACAGATGAAATTCTCCAAGCACTGGCACATCCATGTCAAGTAATGATGATATTGAGGGTAAGAACCTTAGTCCATGAGGTGTGAATACAGAAATATTGCAGCTATGGTGTTGAAGATTTAGATTTGATAAGGATTGGAAGAACTAGTAAATTTTCTTCAGGAGGGTCTAAGATAAATGTTTTTTGTTTAGCAATAGAGGGTTGAGGGTGGTCACTGGAAGTGAGCGGTATCATAGTAAATGGACAACAACCATTTTTCTAGGTCTAACCATTTCAGAATGGAATGGTCCGGAATAAGTCCAGTACAACCAAACAGGGCCTTAACTAACGAGGGTATATTCATCACTTCGTAACATACTAGATTATTATATAAAAAAGAACGCCTACACCAGAAGCCAATACCAAGCGGTACTACGACAGGATGCTGGAAAAATCGGAGAGCGAGAAATCGCGTGCGGGAAATGTTTTCTAACCCCCGGAAACCACCGCGAGACCTTCATAAATCCTCCTTCTAACTTCGACAAAACTTGCCTTCCCATTCCTCCCCGCTCTCCTCAGCATACCCCCTCCCCCATCTTCAATGATCACGCTACCAACCCCGCCTTTTCGTACGACAACGACTCCATCAATCAATAGCGTTCCTTCGCCGCGGAACTCCGCTGTCAGTCCATCATCGAGCAGCACTCGCCGTAGATCCGCCAATCTGAGATCGCCAACGTGAATGGGCTGTGCAACACTCCTAGTTGCGGCAGCCAATGCGGGTGGTAATACGTCGAGGACGAGAGCATCCTTCTGTTCAACCTGTGATCCGCCCTCTTTAGACTCTGCCTCCGGGCTCTTGGAGAGTTTAACCTTCTTGCCATTGCGGCTCTCATCCTTCTTGTCCTGCGCCTCCGTCACACGACCTATTAGGTGCACGACCCCCAGTCCGCGCACGTTTTGCCACTTGAGGTTTCGGACGAGGTTGTCGCTGAGCCTGATTGCCCAGGCATTGGTATCCACACCCGCGTTGACCTTGTTGCCGATTTGAGGAAAGAAAACATCGGTGTCTGTTCCGCTCTCGCCTCGTCCCGATAGTGTGCCCCGCCCACTGAGAAGTTTTCTGCAATCGTTGGCTAGACTCCTAGTCTCGCATTCTCTGCCGCCGACTAAGATTAACTTTCTTGGACTGATTAATGGGAGGAGCATTCGTAAAATCCGAGAATCATGTAACCCTGCGAAATCGATAAATGCTACCTTGAACCGCATTAGTATAGCAATCTTTGTGGAAGTAATCTTGCTAGGCACGGTCAACATGGACTCTTCGTCTTCAGCCTCATCCTCCTCAACTTCGCCTTCCTCCATTTCCTCCTGCTCTCCATCGTCTGGTTCGTAGCTGTCATCCCCATCTGGCTTCTCTTTTGTTTTGCCTGTGCGTCGCTTTTTGCCTACATCTCCGGTTTCCTTGCCCTTTCGAGCGCCTGGGCCACCCCTCTTGGCATCATTCTCATCCCATTTTCTCTTCTTTCCCATAACTCGCTCTTCCTTAACGCCTGTCGCATCGAGGAGATCCTCTTCAGCCTTTTCCTCAGCTCGCATGTACTCATCTGCTCTAACGACCTCGCCATATTCATCCACTCTCCTTCGCCGCATTACGAACGGAAACATCCTATTTCGTCCTTTCGCACCGCGTACGTCGTAATCATATACACCTTTCCCCCTAAGCAAGATATTGATTCCGATATCCACTTTGCCTGCACCATATCCGGATGGGGTTGCACCTCCGAGCATTACAGTTGCCGCCGAAATTTTCTTACTATTGGCAGTGGTGAGAGCCTTCCCTTGTCTCTCGGAATCTGAATCGTCATCGGAAGAGGATGAGGCGTCGTCATCATCTGGCTCTGCGCCAATGGAGGAGGGAAGACCTGAGTTGGAGAGAAGAGACTGTTGTTGCGAGGTCAGTGCTTGTTGTGCTGCGAGATGCCGGTTATACGCCTCAAGTTCCTGGCCCTCTAGTGGTGTCCGGTGAGATATCTGAATCACTCGGATATTAGCGCTTGCTCCGTAACTGGGTTGGGGAGGAATACATCTAGTTCGGCGTGTTGCCCATCGAGAGATATTTCCTCCCAGCCAGTTGCCTTTGCTTCTCCGCCGCCTCCTGTCTTTTCCTTCCATTCTTGCCATAAGTTTCCAGCCCACCCCAGTTTACCGTCCGATCTCTCTGTCAAAACAACCAAATTCTTCTCATCGCTGGCAAGCCTCATTAATGCTTCGCGGCTGAAGCCCCATCCGAGACTGGAATCCGAAGCAATGATGACCTTCCCACGCTCATTTCCGTCGTTCAAGATCCTGTTGAGATGTCCTTGTGTAGAAACCAGATTCAAATGTAGAAAGTCAAATGGCCCTGCCTTATTGCCGTCGTTGCCTTTTCCTTCTGCATCATCTCTTTGCCGGTTTCCTCTTCGGTCTCCACCTGCGATCGACTCAAATTCTCTAACTACCCCCTCGTCCATCCACTCTAGCATACTACCAACCACCTGACCCAATCTCCGCACTCTCCTTCCGGCAAGGAATAACCCGACTCCTTTGCCTTTTGCTCGTGAAGCTAATTCCTGGTCTTTCCTCCAAGCGTGCTCGAGCAAATATACAAGCTCTAGCACTCGCCCAACAGAGTCTGTGGGGATCAGGATGGTGCCACCGCTCTCTAACGCTGTTTTTCTTATGGCATCCAAGAGCATTTCATCCCTCTTTTTCCTCCCACCAGCCATGCTCACGACTTCCGAATTCCTTGCCGAGCAAATCAGTGCCGTCGGCTTCCCCAGAGTTTCCACAGAGACCCCACCGCCGGACAGGAATCCCGCACCTCGAAGACAGTTCTCGCGTGAGTGATTCCAATCCACGGCATAGACAATCGATTCCTGCGCTTGTTGTATCTTCCATATCGTGCCCCCCAGGCTGTGCCCGGCCGAGTAGGCAGTAATCGTGATGCTCCCCAACTTCCCTGAAACCCTCGCAACAGCTGAATGCAAAGGCGTAGGCTGCGAGTATTTCAGGGTCACAATCTTTGTACAATATGAATCGATCTCGGCAGACGTCGGGGGTAGCTTCAGCGCATCTGGATGCAGTTCGCCAGTCTCGCTGGGTGGCAAGAAGGTTGGCGCGGCAAAGGTGCTTGCCGGCACGGGAGGAGCGGCGGAATCTAGCAGACGGGTGGATGCTAAGGGCGTAGACAAGTAGATGTCCTGTAGTAGCAAACGACCAAGATTGGATACGGGAAATGTGCTGTAGACGGGAATAGAGGAGAAGGTCGGAATGTGTTTGCACGCGTGCGCATAAGCTCCCATGTGCGCAAGGGTAGGGTGGGTGAGGAGGACAAGGTCGATTGTAGGGGTATGTCTGCAAATTGAAATAGCCATATCAGCGCAATTCCAGGTCGTAGAGAAATCCCGGGTCCGGGTGCGGCTTTCTCCAATTCGTTGAGGAGCTCAAACACGGCCGACTAACCTTTCCAGTTCGGCAAGCATCCTCACATCGAACTTGTCGTCCCAGCCAACATCGATCAAGATCTTAATTCCATTCTCGAGTTCGAGTAAAGATTGACAAGCCTGAGAATCCGACTGGGCTCCTAGAAGGGGGGTAAAAAGAAACATCACTGATGTTGTGATCAAGTAACCGTTTGGAGATTAAACAGCTACTTTCTGTCGAACCTGGGGGATGTTTTCCATACTCGTGTTTAACAATCGAAAGGGAGCTGGACGAGTGTTACCCTGCCTTCGATTTTGAGCCTCCCCTACCCTGTTCGGCAGACATTTTCCATCGCCTACCCGTAGTCTACCGTCTCTTCCGGCGTTGGCGAGATTCTCAAGTCGTCGCGAGAGTGGCGCTGTCACTTACTGTCTTGGCAGCCCTGACAGGTTAGTGTCCACACACCTGTTCCACCCTCTGTTGTCTCAATACGAGTATCATACTCGAGTATGATACTAGTACTCGTACCGGCGTGGAAGAGGCGTTGGTTTTTAGGGCTTGGTCATTGTATCTGATAGGGTCTTCGTCCCTGCAGAGTTTAATATCATAGTTAGGGGGATGGCTTGGCACACAATTCCGCACAGTGGGAGTGACTTCATTTCTGTCCTTAATAGATGACAACCACCAGGGAGGACCTAGGGAAAAACAACACACCACCCACATAGAAAATCATATTCTTTTCCATTGCTTTTGCTCCTTTCTATCTTCGAAGTTTCACTGCATATCATTGGATCACATCTGCATTCCTTAATAATCAGTTTAGCAGAGGATAGCTACGGGAAGTTACGGGGGCTCTACGCACCATCCAATAAAGGGAGAGCGTGAATTTCTTTCCACCCGCTCTCCCGAATCCCTCGCCGTACCGGACAAATTCTTTGACCCGGACCGGACGCCATCATTCATCATAGTTTGACTATCCGCTTTGAGGTCATTAATCCTCTTGTAGGTTAAGTGTGGTTCCAGGAATAACCGCACCCCCGCTTTTCCGCAGCCACTCTCGCGACTCGAGAATCTCGCAACGCCGGAAGAGACTGTATGACATTCTCCGCCATGATACAACTAGACTAACCGCTCCACAGAACACTCTCCCATCACCGTTTGCCCCACCAAATGATTCGCACAGCGTATGTTGTCCCATATTACACAAGGTGCTATGAATTGTCCCATCAAAGCTGATACTCCATAGAAAACCCCGGAACGCCCGCTCGAAGCGGGCTCTTGAAGCTCGTGAGCCCAAACTAGTCGAAAGCCAAAAGTACACTCTTTTCCTTTCGGGAACAAGTACCAGCGACCTCACGCGCTCCGCAATGACCGACATTGTACACTCTCCACACCCTCCATTGGCTCCCGAGATATGCTAATTACGCTACTCGCCCACCCAGCACTCCCTCAAAAAGCCCCATGCAGTAAAATTCACAAAAAAGAATAGCATCCACCCATTCGAAGACGCGACACCTCTTGAATTCTTCTCCTCAAAAAATGACACTTCATTCCTAGTCTTCGCCTCGCACTCCAAGAAGCGCCCGCACAACCTAACCTTCGCCCGCACCTTCGATCACCGAATCCTAGACATGCTAGAACTCGGCATAGACGCGCGCACCTTCCGCCCGCTAACATTTTTCAAAACCCCAAAGCCTGGAATCGGAATGAAGCCGCTACTATCCTTCTCTGGGGCAATCTTCGATTCGGTACCGAATTATCGGCTCTTCAAGAACATGTTCCTGGACTTCTTCCGTGGGGAGACGGTTAATTCTATCAATGTTGAGGGACTGCGATACATGATACACTTTTCCGCGTCCGAGTCTACCGAGCAGAACCCGACACCTGCTATTCATATGCGTGTGCACTTGATCAAAACTTTGAAGAGCGGGCAGAAGTTGCCGAGGGTTGAGGTTGAGGAGATGGGGCCCAGGATGGACTTTAAAGTTGGACGGGTGCAGGAAACGGATGAGGCGATGATGAAGGAAGCGCTGAAGAAGCCTAGGGCTTTGGAAGTATGTTTCTAGATCCGCTCTTGCTGCGCATTCTTGGTGCTGATAATCCGTAGGCTCGATCCAAGAAGAATATTGAAACGGACATCATCGGTGACAAAATTGGCCGTATACACACTGGCAAGCAGGACTTCAGCAAGATGCAGTCGAGGAAGATGAAGGGATTGAAGCGAAGACCTACTGATGGTGCTGACGAGGAGGCGACACTGGTTGACGAGGATGAGCATGATGGTGCGAAGAAGGCACGTCTTGCTTAATGGCACTGTATGCGCTGTATAAATTCCTATTGTCATTCAAAAGTCTATTTCCGGGCCCCGGCACTCATTTATCACCCCAGTGGGTGACTTCAGGTGATTGTGGCTTTTGCGGGCCAGGGCGCTTCATAAGATAATACTCGGTGGCTTTGAACTGCTGTATCCCCAGCCTCGCTGCAGCCTGTGACACAAAGCAGGCCGATCTACAATTCTTTTCATATACCCCCACCCCTATTCAATTGCCTCGGGAAACCTTCACGGAGCAATAGCAGTCTATGGAGAGCGATTATGGGCTTTCTTTGCAAATCGTAGACCACGCAATTAGCCGCTATAAACCCCCTAAATTCCTCAAAGCTAGAGGTTTCTGCGGCAAAAACCCTCATGGATACCCCCAACCAACTAAGTGCACTAACTACCACTAGAATGTCCCCCCCATTTTTCCTCTTATTTCAATTACATCTACCCAGGCCTATACCACCAATGTAAACCTTGAAATCATGTAATGCAAATGCGCCTCGCAGAGAAAAGGAGGAGTAGGAACAGCTAGAATATCAAATACAACCGCCCAATTCCCCACAAAACACGAGTGCGAATGAAAAAAAAAAAGCTCAAGAGCTCCATTTCCCCACGAGTTTTCACAACCCCTACTAACCTCTCCCCCTCGTCTTCGTTTCCCTAGACCACCCACCCGTCCTACCGAATAAACCTCACACCCCACAACGAACAAGGGAGGGAAAGAGCAGAAAGTGGAAAAAGAAAATAAAGAAAGGAGAAAAAGAAGAAAAAGCAAAGGTTCTCCCCCGCTTACAGATCAAAAGGCCTCAAATGACAGCTTCCCTGTCCACCGTATACCGAGCAAGGCGCGTATTCGTCATCATCGAGAAAACTCGAATCCACGCCACCATAATAGTCATTGAAAAAGTCCGACGTTCTAAACACAGGGTCCTGCGTCTTTTGTCCGCCAGCCGCAGAGAGCAAGGAGTGCGCCGAGCAATCCTCTGCCAAAGCCACAGTGGCCTGCCGCGACTGCTCTTGCTGCATTTCGTCCATAATCTGGGCCTGAATCATGCGAGCTTCTGCCTCCTGCTGCTCGCGCTGGCGGAGAAGCTGGTTGTGGGTCTCCAGCGCCTGGTTGTACATGTTACTATCGATAATTCCATGCGCACGAGCTATTTCTAGATCGTTTGTAGAGGTCTCTGAGCCCAGGTTTGAGCTCAAAAGGTACTGAATGTAAGACCGTTCCCGGTCCGCGGTGGCTGAGCTCCGTGCTGCCGACTCCCGGGGATCCTCCACAGCGGGCTCTCTAAAAGCGGTTGGTTGGATGTAGTGCTGGGAGACGGAGAAATTAATACCGGTTGGTGACGCCCCGGGGGGAGTGGGAGGGAGCGTGGTTGGGGCATTGTCCAGAAGAGAAAGGTTGCGGGAGAACAGGTTGGCGAGCTCATCCCCGGCCGTCCATGTTTGGTCTGGTTTTGAAGGGGGAGTCGCGGGAACTAGATTCGAAGTCGCGGCGCACTGCGATTAAGATGTGTCAGCAAAAGAGCCTCCAGGAATCAAACACTCAGGGCTAGGAGGAGGGGTTACCTGGGAACAGTAAGGGATTTCGTCATAGTCCATGCGAGGAAATTGGTCCACGTTATTGCAGTTCAGGCAACGGACAGCGATGAATGTCAACATATTTGCTGATTAATGGTTTGGTACTTTATGGAATGGGCAGGTTTGGGTATGCTATTACTGCTTCTGGGGGTGAAATGTAGGAAATTAGGACAAGAACTCTGGTGGTGTTTATATAGCTTGAAGCGGACCGGGTATCTATTTCAAAGATCTAGACACAAGCTAGTACACGAGAACCAAGAAAGAAATGGAATACCAGAGAGGATAGTTTTGTATTTTCAAGAGTGGAATACCAGAGAGGATAGTTTTGTATTTTCAAGAGTAGAATTTCCGAGTAATGGCGGGGCAGTTGGCTGAGTGAGGAAGTGGGGCTTGGTATGGGGAGTAAGCACCTATTGTTGGGTTCAGGATGGAGAGGGGGAGTTGGCCGGGTGGCGGGAATAATACAGAGAATGGTCGACGCCGGAATTGGAAGAACACACGGTGAGTAGAAACAGTCAGCAAAGGGACGGAAGGAGCAAGGTTATGCGGATGATGGCAAGCACTAGGAAGATATAGGATTGCGAAGAGCGCGGTGATGCAGGGGCGGAGAAGTGTGGAGTGTGGAAGACGAGGGGGGGGAGGGGGAAAGGGAGAAAGGGAGAAAGGGGGAAGTGGGCGGTAGATATAGCGTTGAGGGAAGAGGAATATAGCGGTAGGTTGCAGCACGACAATAAAGGATGGAAGCGGTATTATACTTGTACACGAATCCCATACCGTTTGAAGGCGCGGGGTTTTAGCAGTGGGCTCACTCTGAATTCTTCACCAACGTCAGAGAAGGCTATTACCCCACCGCCTGTTCCCGAGTAGAGGGGGCACGTTCACACTGTTGAGATCCAATTCTGGGCCAATACAAGCACGACAGCAAAGGGCCAGCAGTCCCTCCCTTGCAGAATAGCGTACCGCACATTAGGGCTATCACCATCAGGATCGGCCCAAGGGAAAACAGGTGGAGCAGAATCTGCCCCCCCCCACAACAGCATTTTGGAGGGGTGTGCGCGGGGAGCGATCCGCCATTTCCAACTGTGTGACCGAGGGACATACTCGTACGGTATTGTCAAATGGATAAGCGTGACAGCAGATGTGGCTCGGTATTTGCTGTGACGGTATTTTTAACGCTATATCGGGAGTAGGATCACGGGGCAAGTGTTGGATCTGCGCTGAAACGGCTGGTGAAGGACAAGGAAATGGTTTGGCGCCTGCCTGGAGTGGGGGGGCGTTGAAAAGGCATCGGGGCTAGGCTCTATTCTGGCTGGTTCGGAAATATGGGGGGTGCTCTCAAGCTGCCAGCTGTTGTTCAGTAGGCAGGGAAATTGGGCAGATAGTGGCTTGCTGCACAGGTAACAGGAGGATGAGTTAACGTTACAATATATCACAAACACAGGAGCCGAGCGACACAAGAAAGCGTCGATGAGGATAGATTCTTTGCCTTACTTCTCTGTCACCGTTAGCCTAATATCATGACTGAGTGGCAGGGGGCCGAGGAAGCCGTTTATGCCTATGCAGCTGGCAAATTTGAGCCTCAGTTCATGATACCGTGGAGTACAGTACCCTTGAGGAGATGCGGGACCAACTCACGACCTCACCTCGGAGGGTATATTTGAGTGAGTGTGATACCATACCAGTGTACCGTACTCGGGTACCGAAGCACTCCACCGTACAGGTACAAGTATCATACCGGTCGAACGGGGCCAATCAGCCATCGAAGCGATCCCCCGGGTGCTAGGCACAAGCATCGTTTCTCCGCTCGCCCACTCTCTTGGGGACTTATGGGAAGAGAGGCCTTCATTCGTGTTCAATAAGCATCCTAACGGCCATGGGGTTTCACAAGACACTGAATCCATGTCACAAATTATGGTGCCTTGCAAGAAGAATGTATTTCAGGGTGCCGGGTGGATGGAGGTGCAAGATCCTTTTTTAATGATATCGGAGGAATTTAGCCCAGGGGAGGGAGCACTGTACAGTGCCGTGCTCGCACAGCAAGAGCCAATTTCGAGTGCATCCGCAGGATCGGCATGCGAAAAGACGTTGCATAAACCTTTTCTTAAGATAGCTGAATGCCTCGATTGGGGTGCAGTATTAAATTTGAATTTGAAATCTTATCGAATCTAATCACATCTTATCCCAAAGATCACTACAAAATCTCACTACCGCATGATGCCCGGTACGGTAGTCTATTCATACCAGTGCCGCAGCACCCCTACCGTACACAATCCATACTACGAGTATTTACCCGGCCGATTCTCGCAGGGTTCCATGAGGCTCTGAAGTCAAGGCTCCGGGCAACAGACCCACCCCACCACCATCATACCCGCATCCAGTATCTTTTCCGGTCGAGAGGAAAGAGAATCAAGAGTCTGGAAGGACAGGGCAGGGGAAAGTTACTCTGAGGGAGGATTTTGATGTCTTATCCCCCTCTATCTCTTCTAAAGACAAATTTCCTGAAGAGGGTGAGTCACTGCTGGAACAAACAGAAGGCTATCCCACCTCTCTCGCCTCTCTCCCTCGACCGCTTCCTTTCTCCGTTTGCCCCGCATCCTGCTCCTCCACATCAAACTTCCCCGATTTTTCATTCAACAACGTCCTCACCAATAGCCATTGCCGGACAGCGATTCCCGCAAACACCGACCGGAAACAGACACATGGCCACCACGTCCACAGCCGCTCACTATAGAGGAGTTCCTCCTGCTCCTTCGATTGAGTCGCTCAATGAGCAGCTTAACAACTTCGGAATCTCCGAACCTCTTGCCCTGTTCCCCGGTTCCAATCCTACTGCAAATCCAGTCGATGTCTACCGATGCTATATTGCCCATGTTTTGGCCCCAATCACTGGCGTCGATCTCGAGCTGGTCTACCCCGCCCTGGAGTGGACGCAGAACCTTGACAAGGGTGATTTGATTCTTGCCGTCCCAAGGCTGAGGATCTTAGGGAAGAAACCTGCCGAGCTTGCCCAGGAGTGGGCAGAGAAGGTACGTTAACAGTGGGCTTTGAATCTGCATTGTGCTTGGTCTTCCACTGGCCCCCCCACTCCGCGCGGCCAGGGATGTTAACACCCTCCTGGGTTTCTAGTTCCCCGATAACCCTTATGTCCGCCCTCCTACAGCTACCGGTACCTTCCTTCAGTTCTACTTCAAGAAAGATGTGCTCTCAAAACTCGTCCTTGGTTCAATCCTCAGCAGGAAGAGCGCCTACGGTCCCATTGATACTGGGAAAGGCAGGCGTGTTATTGTGGAGTTCTCAAGCCCCAATATTGCCAAACCCTTCCATGCAGGACATCTCAGGAGCACCATTATCGGAGGTTTCTTGTCAAATCTCCACGAGAGCTGCGGCTGGGATGTGATCAGAATGAATTATCTTGGAGATTGGGGGAAGCAATTTGGTATGAAATCCCTTTGGATATCCCTTCTTTGAGCTTGCACGACAGATGCATGTTCTATTTTGTGAACTCTTCCTAGTGCGATATGGGATTTGCCGCCCCGCTGGGCTACGCATCCCTCGTGACTAGCTCATTCAGCTGAACACTCATAGGAATTCTCGGTGTCGGTTACAAGCGATTTGGCTCCGAGGAAAAGCTACTTGCGGACCCTATTAACCACCTCTTCGAGGTATACGTAGCGATTAACAAGATTGTGGAGCAGGAGAAGGAGGCGGAGAAGGCCAAGGCGACGGAGAAGGGGGAAAAGCAGGTGTGTCCAGGACTTCGTACTGCTTATTGGCTACTTTTAAAATCGATGGACTGTAGAGGAACTAAGGGACATAAACGACAGATCAGCAACGGGCCGACGGATCAGGAAGCTCATGAGTTCTTTTTTAAAATGGAGAACGGTAGGTTCTATCATGAACTATCACTGGGCTTAGCTAATCCCCCCCACCCCAAGGTTCTGAGGAATGCATAGCCATGTGGAAACGGTTCAGAGAACTGAGTATTGAAAAGTACAAGGCAACTTACTCCCGGCTTAACATTTCTTACGATGATTACTCCGGAGAGTCCCAGGTCTCGAAGGAGAGCATGGAAAGAGCCGGGGAGATGATGAGAGAGATGGGTATCTCATCCGAGTCTGATGGTGCCATTGTAGTCGATTTCAAGCCACACGCCAAGAAGCTTGGAAAGGCGGTCGTTCAAAAGAAGGACGGCACAACCCTATACCTTACCAGAGACATCGGGGCTGCTATGGAGCGTTACGAGAAGTACAAGTTCGACAAGATGATCTACGTTGTGGCTTGTCAGCAAGACCTTCACTTGCAACAGCTGTTCATGATTTTGAAGCTATTGAAGCTTGATTGGGCTGATAGACTTAGTCACGTCAATTTCGGTATGGTGTTGGGCATGAGCTCCAGGAGGGGGACCGTTGTATTCTTGGACGATATACTCGCGGATGCCAGGGATAAGATGCATGAAGTCATGAGGAAGAACGAAGAAAAGTACAAGCAGGTTGAAGACCCTGAAACGGTTGCTGATGTTGTTGGACGTACCGCCGTCATGATCCAGGACATGTCTGGCAAGAGGTGGGTTGTTTTGGAAGCCTCTTATCCATACACCTCCAACTAAATTAGCACGCGATAGGATCAACAACTACACTTTCGACATGGCGAGGATGACTTCCTTCGAGGGTGATACTGGCCCTTATCTCCAATACGCGCATTCCCGCCTTTGCTCCATTCAGCGCAAGGCAGGTATTCCTGCCGGGGAACTCCTCAAAGCCGACTTTTCCCTCCTTGCGGAGGACCACGCAACCAATCTCATCAGGTGCCTTGCGCAGTACCCTGACGTTCTTCAAAACACCCTCAAGACTCTCGAGCCTACCACGGTTGTCACTTATCTTTTCAAGATGACACATTTACTGAGCTCCAGCTATGATGTTTTGAGGGTCATTGGAGTGGAGCCCAACTTGTCAACTGCGAGGATGGCATTATATGAGGGTGCGCGACAAGTTCTCAACAACGGAATGAGGCTACTAGGTCTTACTCCGGTTGAGCGGTATGTATTCCCTCTGCTCCTTTGTCCTGAGGCCTTTGCTGATCAGAACGGCGCAGTATGTAAACCGCGGGGGCTTTCGGTGGATAGCTATCTAATCAGATAAAATGTTTGTTTTCCTGGGCCGTATAGATTGGGTTTTTGGAAATGTGCCTTGTGGCTCTTGTTGCTAGTGCTGCTTGGGGGCTGCCTCAATCCCTACCCAGATAGTCCATACTTCCTTACTTTCGTTCCGCATCAGTGTGGGAGTCGGGGGCCCGGGGTGAATATCTAGAATCCAGAAGCAACCGCCCGTCATTCAGCGATCCAGTATACCTATGGCCTCCGCAATTTGCCCGGATCCCAAAATGAGTAATAGGGGAAATTGAAGGCAACTGCAGTATTGAGTATTGAATTTTAACAAGCGTTCAAACTTGTCGACTTTTGGCCGGCATCGACCGTCATTTTTAGCTGTGGGGATGTTTTGTTTGCCCCAAGCTTCAACACTCTAGCCGTTATCGTCCCAAGAATTTCAAGAGTCGGATCTTTGTTGACCAATTGCCGGGTACCGTACCTTAATTTCAAGGACAATTGATGTTCAAGTATCCTCTATCCTTCTTCTGAAACACTGCAACGAGACACAAAGAACCAGAATCGAAACCGCCACACTAATCTCGAAAAAAAAACAGCACCCTAGCACCACAACCGCCAAAATGCCCACCCCACCTTCCCTTCCCTCTTCCCCAGAGCCAGAACCCCACGCTCCTAACCGGTCCCAAAATGCCCGTGACACTCCATCCTCTCCCTCGTCCATACCCCAAACCTTTATCCAGCCCGCATTAGCGCAGAAGTCCGCAAGAGCCTGGCGGTGATCGAGTGGGGGGGTAGCATCTATCTCCTGCTGGAGGGGGGGGGGCAGGTCCAGTACCAATTTCTGAGGCAGGGGGCTTTGGATGAATGCTGATACCGGAGGGTTGGCGAGGAGGAGGAGGAGTGGGTTTTGGGCGAGGGATCGGAGGGGGATTAAAAGTGTTGACATCGACTAAAAGAGGAGGAGGTGGTGGTGGGGTTAATAATAAGAGGAAGCGGGAGGTTGGTGATGCCGGAGATGAAGATGAGGCACGAGGAGGGTGAGTAGAGCATGCATGACCTTAGCCATTTGTTAACGGCGGGTACTATGATACATCTCATGGCTAGATGGACCAACGACTCTACTGGTTTCTCTTGCCTATCACGCGTTCTCACCCCTCTCTTAGGGTTTTCTAGCTATCCACATCACCTAGGATCGAGGGCTAAAATGTTCTCGCGGGAATTGATCCGGGTGGTGCAGGAACGCCATGGATGGGCATCCAGGGTTCAGCAATTGCTGGTGCCGGGCCGCGCTGGCATCCGACAAGCGCAGGTGTAGTGGCGAGTTGCCCTAGACTGTATAATAGAGGTGCCCCGTGGGAAGAAGATGCTGCGATATGGGCATTCGTAGAATGTGTTACTTGTTTACGCGCACTAAGGGGCCCGGATGCTAGGCCACCTGTGGGGCCTGTTGCGGCGGGAGCATGATGATATTATTATTGGGCATCATACTGGAAGCTTTGATTCTGCGTTCACTCCGGAGGACCAGACCGGCGCTTGTATTATATACCCGTATATGCCACGCCTCACATTTTAGCTGGGTGTGTCCCTCGAGCGATCATCAGTGAAGAGCGGGAATGTTGCCCCGTCCACACTGTCGAGCAGAAGCCCTAGGGGAGCGATTTTAAATTAAGTTATGACAGAGAAATGTGTGCGTTCAATCGGCCGCGAGACCCACCGTTGGACCGTCGATACCTCTGTAAGTTCTTATCATCAACCCCAACCAAATATATGATTCTCGATTCCGCATTTCATACCCTACGTAATCTCATCTAGCCATAGCCCCGCGCCGATCACCTTCTATACCGGTATAATATCTCTAAGCAGCTCTCACTCCCTCCATCTCCACGTCTCCATGCACCTCCTCCTCCGGCACATCCTCCAAGAAAAGCCCCCAATCCAAAACCTCGAACTCGCGCAACACGCCCTCCAAAACCGCCATACCCAACCTCAACAATTGACTCTTCTCCCCGCCCCCACCTGTGGTTCTTACCCGCGGGGAGACAAGGTATTTCTCCGCCCGCACCAACTCCGAGGTGCTAAACGGGATGTTGACGGTGATTAGCATGTCCGTCGTTTGCTGTGGTAGCCGTACCAGCGTCATCAATATCCCAACGAAGCATTCTGGGTCCTCGCTGGGCCGGGAAGAGATTGTTCCGGTTAACATGTAGGTTGGTTTATCCGCCCTAGGTTCCTGCGATCAGTTTTTCCCTCTATCTGACAGAGGCCGGAATTGGGGGTTACATTTTTGGGAGAGTTATGGTCTCTTTGGACACCACGGCGAAGGAGCGGCCTTGGTCGTCGGCGACGTCTTGGAAATGTATGTCTAGCGCCTCCACATCGCTGGGGGCTTGCACCCGTTGGTTCAAGTCGATTACCACGCTTATGTCCACCCCCTCCTCCATAGAAACATAGACCTCCTGGGTATCGGGGACTTGACGGAAGTCGCTGTTTTCGTTTACCTGTTCATTAGCAGTGGCCTTGGTGTTGGGGGAGGGTTTAGTTTGTGGGGGGGGGGGGGGGCTACGCTGCATCTCTGAAGTTTTGCGGTATAGCGGCTCTAATCGCACCACCAAACAACGCAACGGGCGTGAAGGATAGAGAAGACATTGCTCTTCGGGGTGTCTCCGTGCTTGTTTGTTGGGTTTATTTGTCACGGTTCGTTGCTTTTTGGGTAGTGAATATGGTCAGAATGGAAGCAACGCTTGCCCCGAGGATGGACGGGCACTAAGGGGATATGCTTTCCAGCGGGTTTTTATACACTGGGAGTGACTGGGCCTGCCCCTAAGCATTTGTAATACCGGTCGGTATAGGCCGCCGGCTCTGAGTCTAAGAGGGTTCAGCACCCCTGCCTGGCGCTTTGAACCATCACTCCTTTGACTCACGCAAAGCATACCCGTGTCATATCATACATACCCCCACCCACACACACACGCAGCCCCAAATCGAGGGGTATCACGTGACGAGAAACACAATTTCAACCTCACCCACCACCCTACCGTACAGACCTGCCGAGCAAGCGAGAACAGAGAATTGGCAGCCAACGAGCTCTCACATCAACGCCAGGATGAGCTCAATAGAGATCGACCCCCAAACCCCCAAACTCCTCATCAAACAGGGCGCCGAAGCATTAGTCTACAGCACAACCTACCTCCTCCCACACATCCCTGCGCTCCTAAAGCACCGCCCGTCGAAACTATACAGGCACCCAACCCTCGATGCGCGTCTCACAAAGCATCGCTGCCTCTCCGAATCCCGCCTCCTGATCCGCGCCCGCTCTCTCGGGATCCCGGTTCCGGCCGTGTACTTTGTCGACGAGAGTCGTGGAGAGATATTCATGGAGTGGATTTCCGGGAGTTCCGTCCGGGAGGTGCTGGACAAGGTCCTTGCCCAGGAAGGTGGAGAAGTAGTGGTTGACCGAATGATGGTTAAGGTTGGCGCCGTGGTGGGGGCATTGCATGCGGCCGATATTGTGCATGGGGACCTGACGACTAGTAATATTATGGTTCGGAATGCTGGGGGCTCGGAGCTTGCGGGCTCTGGGGAGAGGGAGGTTGTGTTGATCGATTTTGGGCTCGGAGCTGTGTCTACGCAGGATGAGGATAAGGCTGTCGACTTGTATGTTCTTGAGAGGGCTTTCACCAGCACGCATCCGAAGGCAGAGAACTTATTCCAGGACGTCCTCAAGTCCTATGAACAGAGCTTCAAAGGGGCAAAGGCTGTCTTGCGGAGGTTGCAGGAAGTTAGGACGAGAGGGAGAAAGCGGAGCATGATCGGATGAGGCTCTAAATACAACCCAAGACTATAGAAATCCCGATCCCGATCTCACTACAGCTACAAACGTGAACTGATACAGTACAAGTGTGAACTGAGAGTTTTGATTACCGGTCCCTGTTACACATCTAGCTATCCCAACCCACCACTTAGTCTTCGTCCCAGTTAGGATTTGGCCCGGGAGGCTTTGGCCCACCAGCCTGTCTGGCAACGATGATCTGGTCAACCGCAAGGACTGTGCGAGCAGCCTCGGTTGCCAATTTGATGGCCGAGCTCTTGGCCGCGAAGAGGTCAAGGATACCACATTCTTTAGCATCGAGTATCCCGGTACCCTTCTCGTCCTTTGATCCATCGTTAGTAAATGGGCTACTGAATTAACATATTCATGAAACCTACTTCAAGATCCACGCCGGCAGTCCAGGGATCCCTCTTGTGGTGAGCAGCATAAAGTTTACTCAAGACCTCAGTAGCATCGAGACCGGCACTCTCGGCTAGCGTACGAGGAATAACCTCAAACGCCTCACCGTACTTCTTGATCGCATGCTGGAGGAGACCGGGTGTCTTTTCTCCATGAGCAACTATCCTCTCAACTAACTGCATCTCGGTAGCTCCTGCACCTGGGACCAGGCGAGGGTCCCGGGAGATGGCCTTTACAGCGTTGACACCATCATCCACAGCCCTCTCAACATCATCAAGGTGATTCTGGGTAGCGCCCCGAATAACAATTGTAGCGGTCCTGGTTTTCTCATTTTCTACTTCAACGTTAGTAATTGTACACAGTCGGACATGTAGCGTTCCATACCTTGTCGGAAAACTGTTACTCGATCTCCACCAATCTCCTCAGTCTCTACAACATCCACCGTTCCCATCTCATCCGGCATGGGAGCGCCCAATCGAGCCAACGGAGTGGCGCCTACAACTCGACACAGCCGTCTAAGCTCAAACTTGCTGAGAATCTTGATGACCAGTATGCTGTAGCGGCTGAGATAGTGCATAGCCAATTCCCCAACTGTTGACCCGGCAACTACCACCCTGATTCCTGAATCGTGGATTTCCTTGATGATGGTCTCCAACTGTGATTCCTCCCCTTTAGTGAAATCCAACATTTCCCTTGCATTGTGAAGTAGAACGGTCCCCTTAGTCTCCGTCTGAGAAATATCGATGGGGCAGGAAAATATAGCAACTTTAGCTTTCAGAGCCTTCTTGATTGTACCTTCTGGCTCCCGAGGGAAAACCATTCCTTTTACGACACGGCTCTCAGGGAGTGATGAACCCATAATCTTGACCACCCGGATGTTATCAACATTAAAGTTGATGGGGTTTTTAGGTAGAACGGCAAGAACAGCTTGAGCGACTAGGGGTGCGAGCAGATCCTCATTTCCGTACTGTTTTGACGCGATAACGGTTCTGATAGCCTTGGTGAGCTCGGCTTCCGATTTGATAGCCGCAATCTTATCGACCACAAGTTCTGACGAGAGCGGGATGTCAATAATTACGCGAGCGCCCACAAACCACCGAAAACTAACCTTCTAATGTCTTCAAAGCAATCTCTTGGGCCTTCTCATATCCATTAACAATTTCCGACGGATGCAATCCAATTCTGATCAATCCTTCTGCCATCTTCATGAACTCCCCGGCAAGAACAATGACCAGGTTCGTAGCATCACCCATCTATCGACCCAATCAGTTCCAGACCCTTTAAAGGAGTATAAACGGAACTTCGTACCTCCGCCTCTTGCTGCTGACTTGCCATAACGACCAGCTTAGCAGCAGGATGTACAACATCTAACTCCCGTAGAATCGTCGCGGCGTCAGACGTAAGGATCATTTTCTGTAGATGGTTGATGACGATCTTATTCCGACCAAAGGGTCCGAGAGAAGTTTGTACAGTTGAAGCGATAGTCTGGCAGGCATCGATGTTCCTGATGACTGCTCCGTCCTCGCTCGCATACCTATCTCACGAATTAACGCCGTAAGTAATATGGGAAAGGACAATATTTAGGCATAGGGGGGATCAAACGATTGATAGCCTTGTTTAAAGAGCCCACTGCCGGGGGCAGATGGAATTTGTAACGACATCACTGATAGAAAGTAGCAGGTCAAGAAAAAGTATCGGAAGTGACCTTTTTTTGTGGAAGTGGGGGTGCGGCGGGTGAACTTTGTCACCCGTCCCATCGAAAAGTGTAGTGTGAGGAAGATTCATTCACTTAGTCATACACCTCTCATGTCATCACAAATTGTCACTCACTTTTCGGATGTCAGCTGTGTTGTGATATCGCTGGGGTTGTTAGGGACTTCCTGATAACCACATGCAAGAAGCAGTCTAGACGAATGTGAGGAGATGCAAGGAATGGTATGGATTGGAAAGAATGTAGCCACCAGATAGATATCTAGTTGTGGGTTAGATCGGAATGAGGACGAGGAATGGTATGGATTGGAAGGAATGGAGCCACTACCTGTAGGTGGATATCTGGTCCGTTGGATTTTCTATAGTATATAGTGGTCATCCACTTTGGCGATAGGAAGGGAATCAAGTCAAGAAAACGGTTCACAACTCTTGCTCACTCAAACGATTATATCCTTCCCCGCAAAAGTGCCTAACTGAATTCTCCTCTTTACCCCACCTAAACTCTCTTTTCTACTTCAAGCTGTCAGTTGCTCAGCTAGGGATTGGAGGCTTCGGCCTCAGAGACTGGAAGTTTTACAAAAGGGTTGGCTCCCGCCTACCATGATACCATACCGGTGCTACGTCACTCAGCCCTGCCAGTTTTACCCCGAGAATTTATTTTATACAACGTGAACTTCTGTATGTTAAAACTATTAAACAAAGAAGAGAGAAATCCAATCCAACAAGCCATTTCCAATGCCTCGCTACGCCATAGAACGAAGGTTAACGTCTTTGTGCCTTTCCCATACCACGCTTCCCGGAGAACTATTTTGGCCATTAGTAAAATGTGAAGAACAGACTGCGGCGAAAGAAGAGTTGTAATACATACCAAATGCTTAGGCAAGCTAGCGCTAACGTGTCTGTCACTCTCTCCCTGTCTAGCCATCCTGTTCATCCGCCTCTGCTGCAACTTGGCAAGCTTCTCAGCCTTGGTCCTGCTAGACTCATCGATGATACCGTCTTCACGTCTGTTAATGCTCCTTGCCCGACTCTTCGCACGCTCGATAGGTGTCATCTTCTGCGCTCCAGAACCCCCGTCAAGGTCCATGGCATCCCCATCTTTCGCAGCACGTGCTGCCACTCTCCCTCTAGATATCGATCTTGCCCTCGCAGCAATTTTAGAGGAGTCTAGACCAAGCTTGTCAAGGTGCGCCTCCATCTCGCTGAGTTTCCTCCCTTGACCAGCGCTCCTGGGAATCACGGCACGGTTCTTGGTACTCTTTTTAGAGCGAGCGGCATTACGGATAAGCGCTTGCTGCTCACGAATATAGTCGGCTTTGGTGCGGATCTCTGCTTCCTCTTCGTCCTCAATATCCTCAGGCTCATCATAAAATCCGCTCTCTTGGAGCTGCTCCTCCTCAGCCTCAAGGTCTGCAAGCTTTTGTTCGATTTCAGGATCGATGAAATCGTAAACATTTTTGCCATCATAGATCTCGGGAATCTTGTCCATTTTCCAATCAGGATTTTCCAGCAAGTAGTTCTCTGTCACCCTTAGTAAGTTTACAGCTTTCGTGCAGGGCGAGTAAAAGGAATGGCTCACTCTTAAGATTGACGTTGTAGACACCAGCACCTCCCTCTTCAGCTTCAATATCCCTCTCCAACTTTCGCCTCTTAGGGTCTTCTTTGTCGTACCTCTTCCTGTTAAGGACGGCATCAGGAATAAATGGCTGTAAACCTTCCCCGATTGGTCTAGAAACGTGAATCCTGTTGAGGATATCCGCTGCTTCCTTCCCCGCAGCGCTGCTCATGACGCTTTTGAGCTTTTGTTCCACTCTCGACGCTAATAGTCTCTCGCAGGCCTGATTCCTAACATCCATAACACCCTCCTCCGTATGGCAACTCAATTTCAACATTTCTACCTCCCCAGAGCTGGTTATTGTCCCTAGTAGCTCCTGTCTAGCGGGATCGAGGTCCTCGGGCCTCATGGCGTCAATTTTGTTGACCACAAGGAAAACAGTCTTGTTCGCGAAGAGGGGCTTGATAGAGTGGAAAAGTTGAACTTGTGCCTCAATAGTGTAACCGCACTGTTCACTCAGATCGACGAAATATAAAACGGCAGAGCGTAAATGCGCGATAGCGGTAATTGACTGCATTTCAATGGTGTTCATTTCTTCAAGGGGATGATCCAGAATGCCAGGAGTATCGATGGCCTGAAATCGCAAGTACTTATAATCGAAGTGACCAACGTATAGTGACTTGGTTGTGAAGGCATACGGCTGAACATCGACATCCGCCCGGGTGACAGATTTCAAAAATGAGGATTTCCCAACATTTGGGTAGCCACAAATTAGGAGAGTTCGAGTATTTGGGTCAATGGATGGTAAGCGGCCGAGATGTTGACGAACTTGCTCAAGATATTCCAGAGAACCCTTCAAACGCTTGGTAATGGTAGCCATACGTCCTAACGCGGCACGCTTGAGCTGTTTGCATTGGAACAGAGACTGGGCATATTTGATTAACCGAACATAGTCGCGAGCAATTTGTTCGATAAGATGTTTCGCAGTCGAGAGCTGACCAAGGGCGATTCTGAAATGGTCGGCGTCATACAAAGTATTCATGAGAGCGCTGTCTGTAACATGAAGTCAGCCGTCGGCTCGTAATTAACTGCCGTAGGGGAATGGAAGAACGGGCGAACATACGAAATGGATGAATATCGGCCAATCTTGGGAACGATTCCAAGATTGCTCCAAGTTTTTCGGAGAAGGTCTGCTCAGTGAATTTCACCTTTCGCAGGTAGAAGGCTGGGCCCGGTCAGTCACAAGGTCAATTAATGCCAAACGAAACAGCGGACCTCTAATACGGCTGATTTTGAAACCAGCACGAATCTGTGTCGGAAGCCTCCTCTGTGTTCTGGACAGTACGATGTCCAAAAACTCCTGAGAGGTTGGGACAGGTGCGATCGTTTTCCAAGTCTGTGGGGAGCAAAAAAAACGCCGTTTAGCAAAATTCATAACTGTGGAGGTAAATGCCGATAACTGGTTCTCGGTGAAACTTACCAACTGCATGATTACTATGAGGGCACCACAGTTGTGGTCGTCGAAGCGGACAGTTGAGAATAAGAATCACAATGCTCAGCTTTGGTTTTCCCGATAGCAGGTTGACGGGAAGAGGGAAAAATGGATTTTTGGAAAGAAGTTTGTGGGGTGGCTGACTAAGCAGAGAAACCGTCCCTTACGAAAGTAATGATCCTATGCGTAAAGCTGACATAAGATACCTTTTCACCAAGCTGTATGATAACACCCCAGCAAACCCCAGAGAAGTCAGTCATTTTTCCGCAAAGTCAACCCAGCTCGCAGAATATCTCTCACCAATCCCATACCCCCGCAAAACCCACAAAGTTTTATTTCCTCGCCCCCAAATTTCACTGCTTTTTAAGCATACAAACTATTGCCAAAGAAGGAACCCGCAGTATTATCAGAGAAAATATACATATGAAACGAATCTTAAATTTCAACAGTTCCTCCCGCGATGCTTTCGCGTTACACAGTCTATCCCATCGTCCGATAGTAGGTTGAGTACAGTACAAGTACTCGTGCTTGTACTCACTCACACACCAATCAGGTACCAGTACTCGAGTATCCTGGCACGCCGTGGTCGACTCACCACCATCCCTCCAGCTGGCGCAAGCACCGTTACCGGTACTGTACCGTACAAGCACTGTGCGATAGAGGGTGTTTTCGCACATGACAGGTTAATACAATATATTCGTAGTCTAACTACAGGAAGCATCCCAATCGACGGAGGATAAAGTTATTTTGCAGGTTAGTCTGAATTAACTGATCACTAACCCCACTATGGGTGCTCGTGTCATAAACTCAAACAGGGAAGCGAGAGGGGAGAACTGATAGAATTAACCGTTTTCCTATGATATCATACCTCGCCTCATCTGCTCGAGTACTCGTACTGTACGTACCGTGTCTCACCCTTATCTGTGTTACCTAGAGCGGGTAACTACGCCACTAGTCGTTTTTGGAGGGTTGGAGGGGCAATTTACTGCCCCACTAGCAACCAACGCCGTCAATCCGCTTTCCCCAACCAACTCCCTCCTTAGCCTCTCATACCTCAACTGGCCCCTACAGTGGCCATTTCCTCGCAACTCCACCCATACAATACTTACTTCAAAAAATAGAGTCCCACGCCAATGGCTGAGGAAGCGAGGATGCTGGCTTCCCCTGCTACTAACCTTAGAGTCTCTGAGACTACCGATACCCGTTTGTTACCCCCTTCTTGATATATTTTTAAACTGGAATACGGTCCCCTGTTGCTCTTGAAAGTGGGAGGTTGATTTTTTGCAGTATTTATCGATGAGGATATCGGTGTTGACGCCCCCGGGACTCCTGGAACCGAGGAGCTACCTTTCAAGACTCTTATCGGTGCTATGACTCATACATACAAATCTCAGCCCGACGCAAAATTCAAAATTCGCAAGAAACCGGCTGGGCCTGAGGGCGAGACTCCACATGCATATGCCCCGGTTGCTAAGGCAGCTCTAAAGAAAGCTACAAATCTTCACCAGGCTAACCTCAGAAAGGAAGCCAAGAAGGCAGAAATTGGCATCAAGGAACAGGAAGCGAAAGCTGCAAAGGATGCTCAATTGGAACAAGCGAAAAAGGTTGTTATTGTTGAGGATCTCTCAAAGCCTAAGGCTGTTTCCATCAAACTTAGGGATACCGTTAAGCATCGTGAGGCGAGGGTTGTTGTTCGTGGTTGGGTTCATCGTCTGAGGGTTCAGAAGAACCTGGTCTTCATTACGCTTCGTGACGGCACCGGATACTTGCAGTGTCTGCTGTCTGGGGATCTTACCAAGACTTATGACGCTCTTACCCTCACAGTCGAGACTACCATTGCTATATACGGGGTAATTTCACCGGTTCCGGAGGAAAATCACGCTCCAGATGGTCACGAGCTGCACGCAGACTACTTCCAAATTATTGGCAAAGCTCCCGGGGGGGATGATACCATCTCTAACATTGTAGCCCCAAATGCTGATCCTCAAACGAAATACGATAACCGACATCTGGTCATTCGTGGAGATGTAGCAAGCTCTGTGTTGAGGGTCAGAGCATCTGTTCTACGAGCATTTAGAAAGAGTTATGAGGATCTGGGATTACTAGAGGTTACACCTCCCTGTATGGTACAAACCCAAGTTGAAGGTGGTAGCACACTTTTCGAGTTCAACTATTACGGCGAGAAGGTAAAATTCAAACCCCGCACGATCGTGCTCCTAGGCTAATCGAGCCGCGCCCTAGGCTTATCTGACTCAGTCTTCCCAATTATATCTCGAAACTTGTCTTCCCTCTCTCGGCGATGTTTTTTGTGTCCAAGAGTCTTTCCGTGCAGAGCGTTCCCTCACCCGTAGGCATCTCAGCGAATACACTCATATCGAAGCGGAACTAGCTTTTATAACTTTTGACGATCTCCTCAACCATCTCGAAGAAGTCATTTGCCGCACAATCGACTACACCCTTGCCGATCCTCTCATTAAGGGAAAGGTAGCGGAGCTCAACCCGAAATTCAAAGCCCCCGGGCGGCCATTCATTCGTATGACATATGCCGATGCGATTAACTGGCTGGTTGAGAAAAATATACCCAATGAGGAAGGGGAACCTCACAACTTTGGTGATGATATCGCAGAGGCTGCCGAACGCAAAATGACGGACGTAATCGGAAAGCCTATTTTCTTGACCAAGTTTCCCGTGAAGATCAAGGCCTTCTACATGAAGAGAGATCCTACGGACCTCAGGGTCACCGAGAGTGTTGATTGTCTTATGCCTGGTGTCGGTGAAATTGTCGGTGGTAGTATGAGAATGGAGAATCTCGAGGAGCTCATGGGCGCTTATGCGAGGGAAGGAATTTCTCCAGACCCCTACTATTGGTTCACCGACCAAAGGAAGTTAGTTACCCCATATCACCGCCACCCCATACATAAGATTAACGAGTGTTTACAGGTATGGCACTTCACCGCATGGTGGTTATGGTATCGGCCTTGAGCGCCTACTTGCCTGGATATGCGACCGTTACACTGTCAAAGAGTGCTCTCTTTACCCTCGCTGGACCGGGCGCTGCACCCCTTGAGACCTCCTTTGAGCAGTGGATTCCCTTGGGCAGTGATGCCGCTCTTTTGGCCCCAGCCCCCCTGCCCGGTGGTTGGAGTTGTTTTACTTTTCTCTCTTTTGCTCTCTTTAATACCGGGCTGGAACTATTGCGGGATGCGAGAATCACCCTGTTGAGCGGTTCTAAGCTCTGGTGATACAATGTAAATCCATAATGATACCTTGCATGAATTAGCGAAAATGTATCTAGATTCACTGAATCTCACTCGGATCACTGAACTGTTCTTTGCGGAGTGAGCGATACAGTTTCAAGGCGTAGATAGGACATATGCTGCACTACCCTTAGCACCCCGAGCATCGAAGAGTATCCCATGGCGTGTCGGACAAGCCAGTGGACCTCTCCACAGGGCACAGCAAAAGAAAAGCTCGAATAGCTTAGGATATATTATATGCCAGATCGACCCAGTTGTCTATCGTAGCAGGGCGCTGTGTATACCGATTCTGCCAGTGCTTCGTCCCAACCGAGGGTGGAGTTTGCGGTCTTTCCCTCGCTTGGCAGTATGGCATTACGATTCAGGGGTGGAATTGTAGTATAATTTACTGCCCTATAAACTCTCTCCGCTACTGCTGACTGTAGCCAGATGATGGCAGATTAGCGGCCCAGGACTGCATGGTGGGGCGCTCCCAGGGCGGAGAAATAATTTCCTCTTCGTGAAGAAAGGCCTTTTCCGGGCCGAATCAGGCAAGCTGAATCCCGGCAATACGTTTAGGAAAGCTTTAGCTTCAGCAATGTTCAAGCTGTAATCCTGTAGGGCCCCGTCGTGCCGGTCTGATGTTACTGGATAGTTGTAGTTACGAGGACCTCATTCTGCGGTTCTGGGTGTATCCCTGCCTGAGGGCCCCGTGGCACTGCGCTGTACTAATACTGCGCAGTTGCACCCCGCTATCCCGTGCGGCGAAAATTTCAGGATTTCATCCGACACAGCGAGGTATCATATACGGGTGAGTGGAAGAGGGTCCTTGGTGATTTCAGGGCAAGATGGACGGACTGTCTCTGCCGGCATTGATGATTTATTTTGAAATTTCCAACTGGAGCTCCTGTGTCTGGATTCTTTCAGTCCGCACTTTTATACCGGGTTGCAGGATCAGTAGCAGAACGTTGGAATGAATAATCCAAGGGGAGCAAGCGCTCCTCTCTGCGTCCATCATTGGATGCGAAAGGCAGGAAAAACCTAAACCCTCGATGCTACGAAAGTAGTTTATCCCTCAGCCATCATGACCACCCGCTCCTCCTCCCTTCCTTTTCCGGAGAGGCCCTTTTACGTTGACCGCAAGAATGCGGTTCGGCAGAGCGGAATTGGATATTGCGACTTTAGAAACTCTTGAGGGAGGAGAGAAAGTTGAAAAAGCCGTCCCTTGTGCCTTAAACACGCCCCGGGCCCGATGATGGCATTTTGCCTACATTAAGGGTGCGTCTGGCTGTCCACGGGTTTGGAATGTGCTAAAATGGCAAAAACACAAGTTGTACTCGTACTGTACCCAGAAATTGTAGCTATCCCAAGTTAGCAGAATCAACAGTCAAGGCAGTGTCCCTGATCAACACTGGCTCAGGCCAAGAAATGTACTTGCTTTATCTTTACTATGATAGGTATTGAGGAAAAAAAAAAGGGAAAAAAAGCTGCCTCAATAAATCAAAAAAATATTATAGAGAAAATGCTGTTTTCTGGGCCCGAATACCTCCCCTTTCCTCATTTTTAGTACCTATTGTTGAAGGTGACAGTGGTGTTGTTGTAATGTCCTGTTATCAACCAAGAACATGCCACTTCAAAGAAAAATAGAGTTTTGCTGCAAATCCCTATTCAGTCTCAAAACGGAGGTTTGGCGCGGCAACCAGATGCACCCTTAAACGCCGAGGAATCGGCAAGCGGGGGGGCCCCAGCCGACTCCGTTCCATCTCGTTTCTATCGTGGCCATGCTAATCAGTACGAGTACTTCGAGAGGGTATCGAGCCCAGAACGCACAAACCAAGTATGATACGACCCAGCATGCCCATGATCGATGTATGATCCCTCTGTGTACATTTAATCATGATTGTCCCGGTAGGCCGGTACCGTAGTCAACAGCCTGGACAGGGCTGAATGTCTGTGGGGTGGCCCACACCGGGGGTATTCGAAGTTAAAAAGGAGAATTCCCGGTAGAGGGAAAGGGGGGCGATCTTTGCATTAGGGTACTTTATTCCATCAGTCAACAGTGTTGACAGATTTCAGGTTGCATATTTGAGAGCCCATTCAACAGAGGTTCGTAAGTAGCTGTAAAGATTAGTGTAAGTTGACATGTAGGAAAGGCCCCAGTGAACACTAGGCCGAAAAGATCTTGGCTGATGATAATTTTGTTTAGTCTGTCCATAGAGCCCCTCTGTTCAATGACCCCTTGCCCATGTTAGTTTGCTCATGATACCTTGCCCATGTTAGTTTGCTCATGATAGTTTACTTCTCTTACTCACCTTTGTCATGGACCTTTTACCCTCCGTCCCAACATGAAATTTTTTGTACAGTACGATTTTTTAGTAAGGTAAAGTGATAGTGGATTAACTGTTTCTATATCTGCAAAGCTTACACGAAACAGCAGAGTAAGCCAAGTTCTTGCCACCTCTTCAACTTTGAATACCCCTACTCGGAGCTGTTTGTAACTACCCCCGGTAAGCGTCAGTTCATGGCGCCTGCCGTGACTGCCGTACGAGGTAAAGGGACGGACCTTTGCGGAAATCTACTCCGGTCCGAGGAATGGGCAGAAGCAGTGTCTCGGGCGACGGGGTGCCCACTCCGGGGTCAGTTGGTGAGGGGTGTCAACAGTTGACTTGATTACTGACGCCCTGTCAGGCAGCATGTATTATGATGGGGGTTTCATGCTTGGTAATATAGCTTATCCTCCGAGTGGTCAGAAGGGCAATGAATGCACCAATTGCCGTCACACCGCTGACCTCACGCTCAAGAAATTATCATGGGAAGTTATTCAGCGCTCCGCAGAAGCCCTCCCCCTCAGAAAGCGCTGCAGAATCGCTTTCCATTATCCCTGGAATGAAAATGAAAATTCAACATACATCAAACCCCCACCCAGTCATCGACACCCCGTCACCCAGTTCACTGACACCCTACCCGTCCGTACTCGAGTCTCGTGACCCCCCGTCGTTGACATGGGAGAAGGCAAGGTGGGACCTCGGCTAACTTTCGCACGTGACCAGCTGGGGAAAGCCCGGCGTACCGGTACGAGTACTCGAGTCCAGTAGTCTAACCGTACTGTCCGGTCGGCATTGGATCACACTGATCACCCGCCTTCACATGCTGCATTCGACGATCCGGATATGCCTGCGCAGTTGCGCAGCATCGGTTTTTGGCGTCACATGTCACAACCTTTCCCCAGGGCCCAAGCCCGCTTTCTCCCCCGTCGAAGGCTTCCCCAAACTATTTCTATCGCCTCTCCGCTTCTCCACCCGTTTCCTCCCCTCGCTCTCTCACATTGTCCGCCTCTTATACCACTTTCGTGTCTGTTTTAAAAACCGCTAGTTATCGCCATGTCTGGTTAGTTGTTGGCTCTCTGTCCACTTACTCACTCTTTGTTCTAGGGCTCACAAGCTAACTCGGTCCCAGCCTCCGCCCGCCTCAACCAGATTACAAAGCAACTTGCTCCGGGCAGCAAGTCGGCTCGCGACTCTCTCCTCGAGAAGCATGCCGATGATGTAGGCTACGATGGCTCCCAGCTTTCCCCTTTTAAAACCAGCTTCAACTAAAAATTTAGGTTGTTGTGACATGCGCTCTACGAACGGCTTTGACAAAGGGCGGACGCGGTGCTTTCAAAGATACCCCGGCACAGGACCTGTTAGTCGGTGTTCTCAAGGGGCTCATCGAACGCTCCGGAATCAACCCTGCTGTTGTTGAAGACGTTGCCGTGGGAACTGTGCTCGCCCCTGGTGGCGGGGCCACCGAGTCCAGGGCGGCAAGTTTGGTTGCTGGATTTCCCGTTGAAACCGCCGTATATTCGCTAAACAGGCAGTGTTCCAGCGGCCTGGCTGCGTGTGCCAACATTGCCAACGCGATCCGTGGCGGGCAAATCGATGTTGGTGTCGCAGCCGGTGTTGAGAGCATGAGCACTCAGTATGGGTATGTTGCTCCGACGCCAATTCCCGCGATCGTTGCTCACATTTCGATAGTCCTGGTGCTGTTACCGAGTTCTCTGATCTTCTCGACAGCTACGTTCAAGCTAAGAATTGCAAGGTTCCCATGGGCGTGCTTTCGGAGCAGATGGCTAAGGACAGGAACATTTCTCGAACCAAGCAAGACGCTTTCGCTGCCGAATCGTTTCAGAAGGCCGAGAGGGCTCAAAAAGCTGGTCTCTTCGTTGAAGAGATTTACCCACTCGAGGTCAACTTTGAGGACCCCAAGACGGGAGAGAGCAAGCGTATCATTGTTGACAAGGATGATGGAATCCGTCCCGGAATGACTGCAGAGGGTTTGGCCAAGATCCGCCCCGCTTTCGCTAAGGACGGTTCTATCCACGCTGGAAATGCGTCTCAGATCTCCGATGGCGCTGCCGCCGTTCTCCTCATGCGCCGCAGCACCGCTGAAAAGCTTGGACAGAAGATCATCGGGAAATTCGTTGCGTCGGCCATCGCTGGGGTTGAGCCCTTGCTGATGGGTATCGGCCCTTGGGCCTCCATCCCCAAGGTGTTCGCCAAGACCGGTCTCACCAAGGATGACGTCGATATTTTCGAGATCAACGAGGCATTTGCCTCTCAGTGCTTGTGGTGTGCGGAGGAGTTGGGTTTGGATAAAGCCAAGATCAACCCCAAAGGGGGAGCCATCGCTTTCGGTCATCCTCTTGGATGCACTGGTGCTCGCCAGGTCTCAACTCTGATGACCGAGTTGAAGAGGACGGGCGGAAGGATCGGATTGACCTCCATGTGCATCGGAACCGGAATGGGAATGGCTGCTGTATGGGTTGCGGAGTATTAGGTGGATAGCTTGAGGGACAATTAGAACTTTCTTTTTTCCCCTTTGCTGAGAGCTTGGCACCCCTGTATAATAATAAGTAGCATTGTGCCATGATTAAATTACTTGACGTTTTCCGCTAGAATGTGGTGGCATAGCTGCCCCGCAATTGACTTCCGAAAAATACTGCCAAACTCAGGACTTCTACTGCGTCTAGTTTTATATTCAGCCTGTAACGGCATTCATCTGCTGCATTCCAGCCGGAGCGATTCAATTGGGGGTATTTAAGCTTCATTTTATGATATCAAGATCTTAACGTCGGCGCGATCTGCAACTCTGCACGGGCGCTCGGGGCAACTGAATGCAGCCGTTCCCACCCTAAACGAAACCCACAAGGCTGGGAATGACACTACCCAAATCTGCCTGCACCCCAGACAAACCTAGGCGAGTGATAGTCCATGCGGGGCAGCTGCCCAAGCTCCAGAATTCGCAAAAGGCCACCCGCCCAAACGGGCCGAGCAAACAGCCCACGATAGCGTCATCCCGAACAAATTCCCATGTTCGAGTCGGCGCTCCCCTCCCCGCTTCTCCCTGTGTTGATAGGGTTAATTATTTGCTGTATAGCAAGAAGCGGGAGCGACGCCTTGGGCAGGGACATAGTGTAGGAGCGAGGGGGGGCTGTCGGGGGTTATGCCGGGAGTAGTAACTTGAGGAAGCGGAGCAAATATGATAAGTAAGGGATTTGGTGGAGGTCGGAGGAAGGAAGGGGGGGGGGGGGTTCTGAGGATATTGTCGCCCCAGGGCCAGACTCCCATCATCGGCTCGAGTTGATCCTTAGACTAGTTGGCGAGGTTATCACCATGCAGTGCCCCGTGGGATGCCATGAGCCTCCAGTCGGCCAAGGTGCTAAAATAAAGTTTGAATAACCACAAAGCGCCACACACGAAGTGAATACCGTACCTACAAAATCGGGCCGTAACAAGGCTCCTAGCGAAGATCTGTGAGAATGATTTGTCTTTTTCTTTTTCTTTTTTAGCTGCCCCATTCGATGATTCCCCATAACGCCAGAATACCGCTCACTATGTGCTCTCCGGACAACCCCACAGGTCCGATTGTCAGAGCAGCAAAGTTTGCGCCCCAGAGGATCAGCGGGGCAGATGATAGAGCAAAGAGATGAAAATGGGGGGTTGAGGTTTTTGGGAGTGCCGTTGTGGCGTCGGTAGGACACCACCCGTATGACACATAGAACATAAGTTATTTATCTCAATCACCGGGCACTGCCGGCCACGGACTCTCAGTGTGAGTACTGTACCGTACAGCTGTGGCGCGATACGTATCAAATATATATATATATCATTGATTCATAGACACTCACTCGGGGTTACTGGTAATGGAATGGGATTGGGGTATAACCAATTTTGGATCATTTCGGAAAGCGAGGGTAGCCGAGTGATACCGTATCGTATCGTATCGTATCATAGCATCACTTACCCGCCCACGAGGCTGGTTCCCTTATTATGGTATATAAAGACAATCTGCTAACCTGGCTGACTTACCGGTATAGTTAGTTCATCCTTTGTGCCATGTTATGATAGGTTGGGGGAATTCGGAACCACCCGTTATCAACACCCGAGAGGGTAAGCATTCCCTCTTTCCTCACCACATATGATGCCGGTATTTTCTTTTACAACCCTACCTGTGTATATATATGCATAATCCCCGGGCTATCATATCATACCCACACTAATGCTGAGCCCGGGCTAGCCAGTCAATTACCCGAGGTTGTGAAAGTCGGGTAGGTATCATACACGCATTGGGAAATCTCAAGTACGGTACGATACTGTGTCGTGTGCACAAATTTACAGAAGGTCACAAACCAAGAAACAGAGAAACTAGAGGGGGAAAAAAAATTTATTATAGGAACCGAGGGCCTCTGCCCCACGGAAATCTAACTAGACCAACCAAATCAAGAGAGCAAAAATTTAAGATACGGGGCACATAGGAAGCCCGCAGGTTAGTTTGTCACCCAACCGATGGCAGACAATGCAGCAACTGAAATCCTCACTCCCCCAAAAAGAGAGAAAATCCAAAAAATATCCATTGGAGACGCCTTATTCATCCCCATGGTCACCTTCCTCCCGGCTCTCAATACACCTCCCCCTTCTCTTCTCCCGACTCTCGAGTTCCTTCCTAACCCCCCTCCAATGCTTAAACCACTTCCCAGTAGCCAAGGCCATCCGGGAAAAATCCGCATCAAAAATCCAGCCATCGTCAGTAGGCCTCAAGTAAAAATAGGTCTCCTGGGCGGTATTCAAGAATCCCATCACTTCCCTCTTCAAAGCGGAAACCCCCCTACGGACACTCTCATCCAGGACAGACAACCTTGCCACGCAAATCTGAGCATGCATACGGCGGACAGATCTTATAAGTCTCCTGGCCTGTTTGTGGGGGTGGGTCACCCTAGGCTTTGGTATGCGGGTAGGAGAGGAGGAAGCCATGCCACTGGACAATGCGTGGCCGGCCAGGGGCGAGCTGGGCAGGGAGGGGGCGGGATTGGTGGTGACGGAAGAAGAGGATGGTGAAGACGCAAGGCTAGGATGGGTCCCGGGCCAAGCTGGGGCGAGAATGGTTGAGATTCGACTGCGAACGCCGGAATTGCGAAGCCTGTAAGGCAAGATTACAGTGCCTGACGTGGGAGCTGCTGCGCTATGGTTACTACCAGCATGACCAATAGTGTGGCGGCTAGCTTGAGGGCTGGCAGGGCGAAGGGCGCAGACACGATGAGGGGTAGTTGGGGGCTCAGGTAAACATAACGCAGCGACCGAAGAAGATTCCTGTTCTTCCGGTTCGGGCTTAGGACGAAGAGCCAGGGTAGGCATTTTAACGATTGGTAAGAAGTATTTAGGTCGTTTTGATTCCTGTTGTAGGATTCTGTTCTGAGAATATGGATGGAGCAAGCGGGGTTTCTAGTTCGCCTGATAGAAGTTTCGTTCGTGGTGAGTTTGTGTGATCCTTGCTCCGAGTTGGAAGAGGATAATAACCCATGGCAGTATATATTTACCAAATCATATTCACCGGATGAAAAACAAAGAGGGGAAGTTGAAAGCTCGTAGCGGAAGAAGTACGAGTGATCAAACATGTTTCAAGATGTGAGGGGACCAATGGGGGGTTTCTGATATCATGATGGTCAACTTTTTCTCTTGAAATTCATAAAACAGCTATAATAGTGGCTGGGGGGTGCAAGGGTCGGATTCGAATTGCCCCTCCCTCCACGCCCTTATACCCCGATTTCCAGAAGGGTCTTGTGCTCATAGAGTGATTCAGGTTTTCAGGGGAGTACCGTAGGGAGATGTAGGGACAGTTTGGGTATCGTACCGCTAATTTCCTTGGCAAGAAAACGGTCACTTATAGGGTGTGAGATTGTTTTTAACCGCTTTTGTATAATACGGTATAATACGGTTTAAAAACCGTATATTATTTTGAACAACATATTTTATTTGACCATTAAATTTCAGTATAACATGAAATTAACAATTAACAGAATTGGAGAGGGAGAAAGAAATTCACTCCTTTAGAGTAGAGAATTTACAGAAACAATGCTGGTCAGGGTTCGTGTTTTAGGGTTTAGAATTTTAGGGTATGTATGTATCGTATTGTATTGTGTGGAAATAATTTATCAAATAATATACAGTATAATATTAAAATATACGTATTTTTGATTACCCTAGTCACTTATACCCACCCTTTGAAAATACGGTATATAACATACCGATACCAAGCCTGTCCAGGGTTCCGGCAATGAGAGGTCCGCCACAAAGGTTCATCTGCCTTCTTCCGCCCAGTTGAAAATAATAAATAATAATATCGTATCATGCTCGCAAAAAGAGCTGGGCCGCACACTCACCGCCCACTGCTCGATACCAAATACGATAAACTCTCTGATGGCAGAAATATCCTTTGCACTTGGGTCTTGGCTCGGGAGAGTGCCCGGGCCGGTACGCAGGTACAGGACAGTACTCGTACAGCAGTGCTGCTGAGTTTGAAGTCCCGCACCCAGAAGCGGAAGCGATCGCGGGATCGATAAGGAAAGGGTGACACCCTATATATCAGGTACCGAATCCAGCAGTAACCTGCAATATGTAGATAGTTGGTCGGGGGGGGGGGATCTTAGACTCTACGAGTACGGTGCGGTATATTGGCCTTCGGAATCTCCCCCATCTAAGCCGGATCGAGTCCCATTTCGACTATTGGGGGACAAGCTACAGTACCTACCTTAAATATATATATTGAGACAAGTTAGGGGACAGTCGACTCCGCAGAGGGAACTCTGGTAAAAATGTTGGAAGGATCATTGGGGGGCTGCACAGAGCCAAAAACATACAGGTATGGCATGGGGGCGCAGCACGAGAGTGGATGGAATCAGGAATGCATACAAGCTACTTGGTAACCAAACCGTCACTACTCGGAGCGACATTATTCGGAAAACTCGAAACGGTGGTAGGTTACACCATAATGTTATGCATACTGTACATTGACTGCTCTGCCCTTTCGTCCCAAGCGCTGCTCGTCGCTGTCCGGCCTTGTATCATCATCGTTATAGCCGTGGAGAAGCAGCCTTTGGAAAACAAAACATATTCAGCGAGATTAGGACCAGCGCTGCTTCCCGCCGCAGATGCTGTCCACAGATAGGGTCATAGGCCACCACTGCCCCAGCCCGCCCCATCACTAACCTCCATGCCAGGGTATGACAGGCAAAATCTCGCACATGGAGAACAATCCCGGGGCGGTTAGTACAGGATACCGGCAATTCAAACCAACCCCCCCCCTACCATGATACGAGTACTGTACTCGTACCCGTACGACAGACCTCGAGCTCCCCTACTCGAGTATGGCCACTAAAAAACGGCCGGGGGAGCCACAGATTCCTTGAGATCAGCCACTCCGATCGGGCCCGGAAGGTACCGTGGTCAACGAAAGGAATACGGTAGTAGACTAAAGGTCAAAGTCGGCCCCACCGTACTACCGTTTGGTAGGACCGGTAATACAAGTACAAGTACTCGTACAGTATGTCATAGGGTGATGGCGTAACACCCCACCCTGGCCACAGAGGCCACAGAGTGGCTTGCGTGGGGGATGTTGACTCCGTGGTGGTTTTAGCCTCAAGATGCCGGTGTTCCCGTTGACTTTCCTTCGGCCGATGGAAATATCGGCACATGGACGACGGGGCCCCCCGCTTCCTAGCGGCAGTTGACGGAGGGACTTTCTTCCGCACGGGAAAGATATTCCCGATACACAGCAGCAGCAACCACGGCCGTCCCAAGCAAACCGATTTACTCGAGTAACTCACAGTACAGTGATGGGCTCTGCGCTGATTAGTGGCCCCGGTGAGCGTGGAGATATGGGGACTTGCAGGTGCTGCGTGAGCATGAATGAGCACTGCACCGTCTCGTACTCGCCAGGGATTCGCAGGGTATTAGTCTATATTATATGATGCGGGTACTCGAGTACCGTACCGTATTACAGTCGGGGCGACAGGTCCGTGGCTATCTGAGTGGCCATAAAAGTGCTTCACCCCTCTTGCCGGGTGGTTGCGTACGGTAACCGGTCGGGCCCTGGAAAAGGCACGAGTACGCTGCCCCTTCCACTAAACTCTGCCTGGCTTGGCGAGTATGAATCACGAAAAGGCCATCCAAGACCCTACGAGTTCTCGTCCCTTCAGGATAAGTTAAGCCAATTATCCACAGGAAGCCACCCTTCCCCCCCCCCAAGACACCGCGCCAGAACTGAGTGCCCCAGCACCGTAAGCCGCCTGCCCTATCGTCTTCCGTCCGCAGGCCAATCCCCCTCGATCCACCAGACCGCGTCCGGAACCTGAAGCCTTCTTTCTCCATTGCCCCGCTTTCGAGTGCCTATAAAGATCATTCGCCAGGGCCACCACGTCCATCGAGTGAGCAAACCGGTACGGGGTCGCTTTGTCATAGCGACAGGAATCGAGCCACACCATCCATCTGCCCCCCTGACCGCCAGGCATCGTCATCACCATGTCCCGGCCCTTCAAAGTCGTCGTTGTTGGTGGGGGCGTCGGTGGATTAACACTGGCGCTCACACTCGCCAAAGCCGGGATCGACTACGTGGTTCTGGAGGCGTATCCCGAGATTTCTCCTCAAGCTGGTGCGAGCATCGCCATTTTTCCCTCCGGTGCGAAGACGTTGGACCAGGTTGGGGGGATATTGGAGGACCTGCGCACCATCTCTTCACCGGTACATACGGCCTACGCGAGGGATGATAAGGGGAAGCCGATGTATATCGTCAATATTCTGAGGTGCATTGATAGGTAAGTCTTTTCTTCTCCTTCTCCCTCTTCTTCCTTTACCAGCAACGGGGATTGGGGAGGCGGGAGAGCTGCCATCTTGGTTGACTTTGTGTTTTCGTTGCTAGATCCGGATACCCGGCTGTGTTCCTCCCCCGGCAGCAGTTACTCGCGTTGCTGTATAAGCATGTTCCGGATAAGTCAAAGGTTCTGCCCGGAAAGAAGGTGGTGAAGGTGGTGCATTCGGACACCGGTGTTCGAGTGATCACCAAAGATGGAGATGAGTTTGCAGGCGATGTCGTGGTGGGCGTGGATGGAGTGCACAGCACAATCCGACAAGAGATGTGGGCCTTGGCCGACAGATTGAGTCCCGGACTGATCACGGAGAAGGAAAAAGACAGTAAGCTTCGATTATGGGGAGCCGCCAGCCCCAAATCCGATCAAACCTCTATGCTAACGAACGAACAGCGCTCTCGGCGGAGTACTGCGCTGTGGTTGGCATAGCTTCGCCCCATCCGGGATTTGAGCAGGACTGTAGCCATGTCAATCACAACCATGGTCGCTCGTCCATAATTGTTACGGGCTACGGAGGGCTCAACTTTTGGTTTCTGTTTGAGAAGCTGGACAAAATCTACAGGGTTCCGAACATTCCAAAGCTCACGGAGGAGGACGGAAGAAGACTCGCGGAGAAGAGGCTGGGGGACCTCGTCACGGGGGACATCACGTTTAAGGAGCTATGGGATAGGACGACTACTTATGTCACGGTTCCCCTGGAAGAGGGATGTTTCGAGCACTGGCATTACGGGAGGATGATCGTGATTGGTGATGCAGTACACAAGGTTAGCTATGACTGCACCCACCACTATAGCCAACTCCCCCAAACGTGTCGGTCACGCTGACACAGATACAGGTCACTATCAATGCGGGGCTCGGGGCGAACGCTACCATTGAAAGCGCTGCAGCTCTAACCAATGGCTTGCACCGCGCAGTAAAGGCCCATCCGGAAGGCCTTAGCTCGGAAATGATCGATAAAGTATTCGCAGACGTGCAAGCCCACCGTAAATCTCCCATAGAGTCCGTCCTCAGCGTCGCCGCACAAACAACGCGCATAGAGTCATGGGCGACCACAACTCTAAGACTCGCCTCCAAGTATTTCATCAAGCACCTGATTGGCGAGGACTACCTGTGGGATTCACAGGTGGATCTTCTGATACGCACGGAAAAGCTCGATTTCCTGCCCGACTCCGATAAAGGTGCTATTCCGAAGATTTACAGCCCTCGCTATCCGAGCGGGAGGGCTAAGCTGATCAACGGGATTGCGTACATATTGCCGGCGTTCGCGCTGTTGGGGTGCTGGCTGGGTATGCGGAGTTCGGCATTGATGCCCGCCGAGGTGAGCGAGAGGATTAGTCATGAAGCAGCGGAGACTGGAATACCCGGTTTCGGAATCTATTCCAGTGGTAGATTCGGGTTGGCCAGGATTTTTACCACCAGCTTTTCTAATCTTTCGGATTCCCTAACCGGCGACAAACAATCGGACCGCAAGCTTAAGGTTTTTGCTGCTCAAACTGCGCTGAGCCTTTTCCCAATTCTCACAATCATGGTGGTGGAGAGCCTAAGGCGTGGAAATACATTGACATTGCCGAAGATGTGAGTTGCACCATTCGCCCTCCCAAATCGCGGGTTCTGACTTTGGAACAGCCCCACATTCTGGGGCTTTCTGTACCAGATATTCCCGATATCGGTGGTGCTTCCGGTTTACTTCTTCTTCCACGCATATCAGATCACTCCGGCCAAGTACTATGAAAAGAACTTTATCAGTATCCCCACGGCACACGCAAAGTCTCTCATTCCCACTCTCATCATATCATTCCTCATCCCAACCTCAATCATGCTGCTCCGGGAGCAAAGCTTGAGGGCATCCATGGCGCTTTGGTTGCCATTCCCTATATACACAGCAATAGTGCACCAAATCCTGAAATCATTCTTCGTCACCCCCGCACTACCCACGAAGAATGCGGACCTACCCTACATCCGTGGGGCATACCTCTTAAGCTTTGCAGTCTCCGCATCGGCGCACTACTATGCACTATGCACCGCAACCATGACCGGCGACTCCCTCCTCACCTTCGCAGCCCGTCTGGTCCCAGGAGCTCCTCCGATTCACGACAACTCATTCGTCGAGGCGGGAGTAGGCATCGTGCTCACTGAGTACCTCGTTGCGTTCGCCGCGGGGCTAGCTTGGGTTTTGGTACTGCTCAATGACGTGAAGAGGTTCCGGAAGACTGCTGCTGGGTGGTTGGAACTACTAGGGTACACAATCGCGGCTTCGGCGATGTTTGGGCCTGCAGCGACTGTTCTCGCGGCATATGCGTGGAGGGAAGAGTTATTGAGGGTTTGATTGGAACTGCAGAGGGGAGGGTTACCTAGACTAGATAGTGCGGCGGGTTGACTCCTTAGACATTGATCCCGGGATAGCCTAGTGGCGGGATATGATTTTACGCCGGGCTTTTCTTTGTTTCCTTTTTTCCTTTTTCCTTTTTTTATTGTCGAAAAAGTCGTCATGTGTGATTCTGGCATGCATAGTACCGTATATGTCGTACTATGCCCGTTCACTAGCCTTTGTGCACATTTTATTAGCATCGCACACAACGAGATCATGAGCAAGGCTCTTTTCTCGCTCCCTTCACCAAAGCTATAGTATGGCGCATTATATTGCAGGAAGGCCAGTGCGATTCACCCAGCACCCAGCAAAGCAAGCTGCAGTTCCCGCACCGACATTCCTAAAACCGCCCACAATGACGTATAAACAAGCCTAGCAGACCAGACTAGATACTGTAGCCATCCAGACACCAATAAGCACTCCCAAAATCATAGGCTCGGGACAATTCGCGGGGAAGCAGAAAACTAATTCGCTCAATGATCAAGGTGGGCCCAATAGGATAAAGTCTGCTGCATAGGAGGCCAATATCACCCATTAGTCCATGGCCGGCGATGGACCATCCAAGTATCATTACCGGCACAATATCCCAACCTCGCATCCCAACCCCATTCCCTCGCAGTATCCTCTGCGCTCTACTCGTAGACTCCTCACTAAGTAACTCCAGCACCATATGGTTAGGATTACTAACCAAAGATACCAACCAGCCCAATGACGTTGGCGGAGAATTTATATCCGTAGCTTCCCAACCCACAGCCAGAGAGGAGCCCACGAATCAGGCCCGTGGCACCACCCCCTTGCCCCTTCGTCCCCCACCATCGGGAGAGGGGGAGAAGGAAGAAGGAATGAAAGAATGAATGAAAGAATGAAAGCAGTCACTTTTCCAACGCCCCGGGATATCATACGGTACCTCCCCAAGTACGGTACGAGTACAGGGGGCACGCAGGCACCAGGGATGCAACCTGCTCGCCGCTTGCTGCTCGCCGCTCGCATCTGAGGCGACGGGGGAGGTCATTGTGCGGCGCAAATCAAGCAGGGCAAAGCTGCCACCTCGCGAGACAGACACGGTCCGTGCGTTCCACCCTGGACACCACCCTCCTGCTGAACTGGGGCTTGCGGGAGAGGTGCCTCACTGGCCAGACACTTGAGCACCCGCACGTTTTTCCCTTGGGCTGGATGAGTGAGCGTGCTTAACCTGCAGTTTGCATCGGGACCATTTGACGAGGCTCATTCCATCGCGCATTGACCTTGCCGTACTCGAGCACCGGTACTGGACTCGTCGTCGTGCACGAGCACCCGGGTGGTTTACCAGTATACCGATACCGGTACTCTTGGTTATCCATCCTCCCCCCCCTCCACCATCCCGCACTTATCAATCCCTGGCCCAGGTAATTACCATGTCCCACAGCAACAAATCCCAGCTCAACACACGGCAGCAGCCAGGGTATGTGCTTCAATAACGGTGAAAAAAAGAAAAAATCGGCCGGCCAGCACAAACGGTATCGGAAGCTCTCGAAGCTACTACGGCAGTACGGCGCCGTGAAAGAAAAAAGAAAAAAGAAAAAAAAAGTTCCCTTCATTCCCTGTCTTTTGACGTGGTGGTAGTGGATACCAACCGATGGACACGGGGACCTAACCGTCATGAAACGTCACTCGCTACCTTGAGAGGTGGTAGGGGGTTTAATGCTCACGCAACGGCCGGAGCGCATAGGATGAACTGGCGGTTTGGGGGGAAGATTCCCCGAAGAGGGTGGAGAGAGAGCTCTTGCGTTCCTTTCCTTTCCTTTTCCTTTCCTGTTTGAATCTTTTCCCATACCACGCAGTCGTTGCTCCTGACGGCGTGGAAGTGGTGAATTGTCAGCGCGGTTTGTGGAGCGACCTCCGTGATGCTGGTTAGCGCATCTGTGCTTCAGGTAGGACGTGCCGCACTATGGGTCCAGAATACCGGTAGTAATACCTGTGAAAAAATGAAAAAATGAAAAAAAAAAAAGAAGACCACCGAAGTGAATCCCTTAATTACCCGTCTTCGGGCGGCGGTTTGCCCTCTCGACCTCCTAACTCCAACGGTTTATCAACGATACAAGTACCGAGGGCAGGGGTTTTGACGGGGGGGGGGGAGGGTTCCACGCCTTGACGGTTGGGTGCACTGTACTCGTACTAGTACGAGTAGCATGGAGGTGTTTTTTCAGTCACATGAGTGGTCTCGGACCTCCTGTTCAACGACGGCCTACCGTACCTTACAGTACTGTACCTTTAAGACTGGCTATGATACGATACTGTACCTGCACGGCTCACAAGTGTGTCTGTTATTAGTATTAGTCTACTATTATCTTACAAGGGCAATCGGGTTGATTGTCGCTTTTTTTTTTTTTTTTTCTTTTTTTCATGCCTATCCAAATATCTGGATTACTAGTAACGGGTTTATTACTCTGAGGAGGTAAGATCCGGACTACTGTACGAGTACGGCACTCCAGAGTATATTAGTAATATTTATTATGAATGTATCATACGAGCGCCGTACTAGCACGATACTCTCTTTCTCAGTATGGGAACAGCCATGAGTATGATAGGATTGGGCAAGGGCATTGCACGATAGAGGGTTATCATAGCAGTGGTACTACTCGAGTACAAACTCCGGTCTTGCTGTGAAAAAAAAAAAAAAAAAGGAGCATTGTACAGGTACTGCTACCGGTACTAGAGTACCAGAACGGTGTAGTACCAGAACGGGGCCCCTGTTCGAAAGTTGGGGAACCATGGTTGAATCGGATCGACGGCACACTACTTTTTGCGTGACCAATGGCAGCACAGGATCTCCATGACCTGGAGCGTGCGTCCGATATTTCCCTAGGGCTATATAGCCTTTCCACCGCCATCTTCTCCCGGTGAAGAGGGGGGGGGGAAGAGAGAGACAGGGGACAGTGACACAAGACTTGGACTGGGAGAAAGAGGGTGAAGAAGAAAAGAAAAAAAACACTTGCCATCTAATAGCCTTCATGCTAAACTTTATTTCCCGAATACAGCCTATAACCACCAAGCACGAAGCAATATTCCTTCGAGAAAGTGTCACTCTGATACAGTGGATTTACGTGCCTCTCTGTCGCAGGCTCGCCTTGTAACATCTGCGTCCAGAGAATTGCCAGCAGTACCGGGGGTTCATCTGTTATAAAGTGCGTCCAAAGTATCGTAGTTGGGAATGAGTGAGGGGGGTAAAGTACCGTACACATAAGCGCTGAGAAGGGAAAAAGGAAAGAAAGCTAACTTTTTTTTTTTTTTTTTTCCTTTCTTTTCAAAAGCCAGCGCGATACATGAATGACCCGAGATGTGCCGACAGCGAAGAATTTTCGATCTCCCCTTCCAGAAAAGAAGAAAGAAAGAAAGAAAGAAAATACTAAAATGCGACACGAAAGGGAAGAAAAGGATCTTATCAATAACTTCATCCAATAGATAAGAATTCCCAGGGTTATAAAGCTGATGAGGGGTAGAAAGAGGAGAAAATAGGCACAAAAAGGGGAAAAAAGGTGGAAAAAGGGGACGATATGGGAGAAGAAAGGAAGGGGAAAAAAAAAGATAAACTAAAACTGAAAACCCCGCACTCTTCATTCCCACGGCGCGCCCAAAGGTACCCTACGAACCCGTCTCTTTTCAGAAGCATGGCAATCAAGTGCCGACCTGCGGATGGCCCACGACGATGACCCCCTGGGACGTGACCATCCTACCGGATGATCCATTATCCATTGCCAGGTTCCCCTGGCCGGGTAGTGAGCCAGTGACATAGGCGTTTCCAGCCCCAGGGGCGGGGTATCCACGATGCGGTGACATAAGGCCACCCGCAAGAGATGATGCAGCTTGCTGTGACGGGGGCGACGTACCATTCCCAGAGCCCAGAGCATTTGCGCCAGGGTGTGCGCCGTCGGTGACGGAGAAATTCCGACAGAGCAGGTAAGCGCGCATTGCTGCGGCTTCGCGTGCGAGGACTTCGCTCTCCAGCACAGCTTCCGAGTGGTACTCCCGGTTATTGACCCGCACTGTGCACGAGATGCCCGAGGGGAGATATTGGCACTCGTAGTGCGGGTCCGACCATCTACGGCGACGGCAGAGACCTTGTTTGAGATAGCTCGTCAGTTTCTCCTCTTGACATCACTGTTTGACAAGTGGGCTTGGGGTGCTTCTTCTGCGGGGAAGCGTGTGGGGGGTGTGGGAGGTGAAGGCTAATTGAGCTTGAAAATCGTGTTTGACAACCGGCATACATCAAGCTGGGATATGAGAGGGGTGGGGAAGACCTACTGGAGAGGTACAAGATGTAGTACATCTCCGGTGATAATGAAATGGACTAGGAACTGAATTCTAGCACGGGGCGCACGGGAGTCGAGCCGTTCGTGCGTTTTTTGGAAGGGTATATGGTACGTTTGTCGCCACTGCAGAGAGGGGAGGGCACCTGGATGGCAGCTTATCCTCTGGGGAATGGTTTCGTATCCGACACACGGATGGGAGAGAGAGAGCAAAAAGGGGGGAGGGGGGTATTGCTTTCTCAAGTTTGTTCTTGCGATTGGTATGCCGTCTTCTGGGGGATTTGAAATTGTCCCGAACTTGCTGAATAAAGGCAATTGTACCTTACGGCCTAGGAAATATGACCTGGAACCCTCTTATACGAAGAAAGCCGAGTGGTAAGAGGGAAGGCAAAGGGTTGTTGTAGTGTGGTGCAATTCTTGAGAGGACCAGCAGGTGGGTGTAGGTGAGTTGTCCTCGGCCTTATTCCAGAGAGAGAGAGAGCACAGCAGCCGTAATATATGACCCAGAGTGCGGGGGACCCCTCAGTCAGAGCTGCCATCCATTGGGAGTGGCCGATTCAAGGGGACCAGAAGGTCTGCGGTCGGCCGGTATTGAGTACGTCGAAGCGGAGGATGGTGGACAATATCTCATCGAATGATACTGTATGCTTTCCGAACCCCCCCCCCCCCCTCCCTGTAAGCAACCATGCTTCACGACACATCGCTGAGGAAGGGGGTGGACCTAATTCCTATCTCACTACCAATGAAGTGTTGTATCCCGTGACAGGGCCCCCGTTGCTTGTTTGCTTTTCTCTCCCAGCGCGGGAGCGGGACAGACTGAGCTGCCGGGGTGGGGATGGGTGGTATGGAGATGGCGGAAGTGATGGTTAGAGGGACAAGCCAGAGGGGGAGTAACCCAACGCCAAAACGAAATATCTCCAAACACCTTCGGGTGAGGTGGCGATACCGAGACGCGCCGGAGTCACCAAGCCTTCCATGCCATGTTTGGCGCCCAAGGATCGCTGCTCCGGTGTGCAGTGCAATTCACCGCCCCGGGTCATAGCAAAACGTGTCGACGATAAAAAGGAAATAAAAACAAAGGAGCAAGGTAGGTAAGTAAGGGAAGAGCATCTTCCCCACTCAATGTGCGACTACGTATTGGGGAACATACGCCCCTTTGCCCAGGAGTGGGAGAGAGACTATTGGTACGATAGTACACGAGGTGTCCTCCATGACGAATGTGGAATTCTCTCTCTTCCTACGAGACAATGAGGATCCCAAGAAAGGAAACCCAAATACCATTGAAATCGATTCGTTCGATCGAATTCTTTCCACTGCAGCATGCAATTCTAATAGCCTCTCGGCCTTCTTCCCCTCCACACTTCGGATATCAGACATTTTGGCCTTGCCGGGCTAGGTATATCGATTTTTCTCTCCAACATACTTGTACGTTTCAATGCCATGAATAGCCGAAGCAGCCCCAGATAATCGCGGCACTCTTTCTCCTCTGAAGTTTAGGTTTCAAGCACGGTGCTGAGCAAGGAAGAGAAGAGGGGGGGGAATGATAAAGGATTGGAAGGAAGAAAAAGGGGGGGGGAGTAGGTGTAAGAGACCTACTAGCGCACAGGACAATTCAGAGGGAAGATAGGGCGGTAGGGGGGGGGGGGGAGATTGAGAGGTAAGTTAGCACTCGAATAGAGGGGTTCGCTCAAGGTATTCTTAGGGGGAGGGACTTGGGTTGCACTGACTGTGACAAAGAGTGAGGAATCTTTTATCTAGCCATTTCAACTCAACTAGAATCGCCGGCCGGTTGGTTTGCCGCAAATGTATCAGGTAAAAGGACCCGGATTACTTCTTTCCAGATTGACTGGCTTCCAACTGACAGAGTGACAATATAGGCAGAAACGAACGTTGGAAGACGAAATGCGTTGATGCGTTGGCATAACTAACGACCTTTCGTTTTTTAAAGCCTGCACGAGCTAGAAGCACGCCGGGCCTTACGTGAGGGAAATCAGAGAGCGAGGGCACAAATAGGTCCCGCATTGAAGCGGCGCGAAATAGATGATCGACGAAGTCGTCAATATTGCGCTATACGTACTGGACACTGTGGGCAGATGTGTGATAAGAGCACTGCTGTACGGTAACCTGAGGTGCCTAGGCAGCAACGGGGATTTCGAGATCGACTTGCGGCCTTGGCTACCTCTCATCCCTCCGCATGCCGCATCCTGCCTTCTCAATCTTCCCCTCCCCTCCCCTCCCCCTCCCCTCCCCTTCTCACTTTTCCCTCCCCTTACCTAACCTCGGGAGAGGTTGGCCGGGCGGCGGAAGAGGGGTGAGGGGGGGCGAGAGACAGAAAAAGGATACCCGAAGAATCCAATTCTCCCCTATTAGTCTTGAGGTACCATTGTCCTAAAACGGCAGTGGATCCTAAATAGGGTACCGGTATTGAAGGAGAAGCCCAGCATTAGCTAGCGCTACATCCAGGACTTAGGACTGGAGAATCGGTACGAGTACTCTACTCTCTCGCATACGTGAACTGATCGTACTGGTGCGCGCTTGGAGGAACATGCAGGAGGGCTGAGGAACAGGTGTTCGTTTGCAAATTGGACCAAGAAGCCTATGTACTGCAGTGCAATTGTGATATCTGAGAGGACTTACTGGGTAAGAAAGAGAGATACCGTTGAGGTTGGGAGGAATCCTGGGGTGCATGATTCGTTGACTGCATGGTGGGCTCTGCAGGTCTGACTCTGGGGGGCTAAAGGAGTGCTTTGTGGCAGCACCCGTCCATCAAGCCCACAAATCGCGTCCCTTAGCACTCTGGAAGACCGGTTCCTCTGTGATAATGGTAACCCGTGAACTTGAGCAGGTGAAAGAAGGTATTAATCAGAAATTGGAAAGGGCATCGGAATATCTTCAATGCGGAAAAAGCAAAGAAGTGGGCTCTCTCTGGTGTGGCGCGCTCCTCGCTGGCCGGGGGTTGTGTGATCTGAGGAAAAAACACGCCTAAGATAACGGCAGAACGAGAGGCAACCACATTCATGTGCCCCGATTTGAACGAGAGGGACCTAGGGTAAGATGCAATCATAAATATAAGTTGCAGCAACTATCCATAGCTAATATTACATCATAAATGGAATTGTCACCCCTAATTGCTCCCTCCCTTCCTGGTCTTTGATCCTCTATTCCATGCTTCGCACCTTTAAAATTGCCCCCCCCCCAAAAAAAAAAAAAAAAGGTAAATAATAGTAGTAATGTAAAAGTTTAATAGTATAGGGAATGTAAGGAACGAGAAAGGATAGAGAAAATAAGGAGGAACGAAAGGATTGAGAGGCTGGAAATCGAGCCATGCCGGTGTCCATGCCAAGTGCGTATTCCGGATTTGCCGTAACGAAGGATAAGAAAAAACCAGGTCCTGTCCTGTCCGTCCAGATCCGACCGGTTCCCGTGTGTCTGCACAGCGCACGAGGTCTCCTCACAGCCGGTGGCCACAACTGCCATTCCCCCACTAACCAGCCCTGTCGGCACACGCACGGGAAAGCCACTCCTAGGCAGTGGCATTCAGGGCTTCGTAGGCCTTTTTTGCTGCTTTTTCTTTGGCGTTCTCCTCGGCTTTGTACACATAACTGGTTTCGTATTCTCTGCCCGCTACACTAACAACGCAGGAGTACCATGATTGCCCGGAGTGTGGTAATGCTGCCTGTCCGGGATCGGGGCTAGGGGGTGAGGGTATGCTCCCACCGCTGTGTTCGTAAACTTCGTAGGAAGGAGAGGGTATGCGTTTAGAAGCGCAAAGTTCTATATCATCCCTCCCATAGAATGTGAGTGTAACCCTCCTGATTTTATAGCACTGAAGTTATGAAAGATAGAAGGACACAAAGGGCTGGAGAGTGGGAAGTATATCCGAAAAAACTGATTCAGAGGTTGTAAAAAGCTACAAGATGAAGCCTACCTTGCAAGTGCGATTGCCAGTATGTTCTCGTGTGTGAAACCGCCATCTGGTACCTCTCGAAGTCGACACTACCAAGTTCCGTGTTTTAACCACGCTGTAATGGAAACATACAACAGGACAACGCAGGCGCAGGCACAACCCTAGTGTCCGGCTTTCTTATGTGGGCACTTGGATACCTCCTGATATGTGCTTGCTTATGATCGGCAAAGAAAATGCCTCTGCTTCGGCGCTGGGCACACAGCTGCAGCAGTTGCCAAAAGTTACTCGCCAATGCGGGTGAAAGACGAGCACTGAGGTCAATCCAAATAAGAAAAGACTAACGGCGGGAAGAAGGACGATAATCGGCGACCAGTTGCTGGCTTTCTAGAACTTGAGAGGCGTCCCGTCTTTTATCTTCACTTGGCGATCAGTTGTCTACCGTAGGTTGTTCGGTCAAGATAAACGGGTTGCGATTGAGTTGCTAAACAAGAGAACAAAGAAGTTAGGACGCAACATGCCCCAACCTTAAATCCTTCGGGACCCAGAAGCTAGCACTGCTGGCACTGGAAGATGTACCCCACATGGGCCATTCTCCAATTATAGGGGGATGACACCTCGTAACGCATTTTCGATGCCCTGTCAGTGAGGGTTCTGCCAAACCAGTAAGATATGGTCAAAGTTATTGCGGGCCCCGAAGGGCCGGTTCGCAGACCATGTAAGGTTGATTATGTTTGCTCCGCCCCGCTTTTCGCTCGACGGATGCAGAATTTATGATAATCGAGTATTACTCGAGTGGAGTGACGGCGACTCCGTGCAGAAGTCAAACAAAAGTTGGAAGTCAGAAATCCGAAGCCTTGGTAGTCATGGCCGAGGCAACACCAAGGAAAAGCAAGGAATACAAGTATCAGACGCAGTGACACGAACTTCCCGCCGCGGAGTGAAGTGTAGTTTCCTTGTCTCTCAAATATTTGCCAAGAGTTCCGACTACCAACTTCTATCATAGCTTTCCCCTCTGGGTGGGGCCCCAACCGCTTTAGCGGCCAATCAGTCTCCATGCCATATGCCCTCAGGAACATGCAATGCACGGAGGCATTGGTGAGCATGTAATCGGAGTCATTTGGCAATATACAGTACTGAGGTCTCTCACATACTAAGTTTGTTCCGGGGAAGGTGCCATAAATTTCTCGAAGACTCGTAGCCCACTTCCTGCATGGTCTTCAACGGGGGGGGGGGGGGGGCATGAGGAAAACAGGCGGGTTACATACCTTAAGGCTCAGTATGATAATGGGTATCATAATTATCATAGTGTATTTTTTTGTTACCCTGCTTTGGGGAGTTCGCTTTTTTGCCTTCCGCTGGCCTCCGTCGTGTCCCTGTTGAAAGTATATTCGGCTGGCTGGCCCATGGCAAGAGATAGGTATGTGATGTGATGTACTCGTACTCGTACGGTAGTACTACACACTATTAATAAGCCTCCATTCTTGTATGATACGGGTAAGTTGTCATGAATACTCGTAGGCTTGCATGCCGCTGCTTTTAGAAAGGAAATAGTCGAATTAGAATTCATATGATACTCGAGTAGGTATTCCTTGCCGGCCCAATCGGGAGAGACCTAGGTGAGCCTCGCAAAGACCAGGCGGAGAAGACTGAAGGTTGGACGGGAGAGTTTCCAGCGGGTTCCACGGCATTCCTTCGAAGCCTTGCTTACGGCAGCTGGGGCAACATGACGCAGCCGGCAGAACCGCACTTTCTCAAGCAAACTTCGCCCCCCAAGAAAACCTCGCTTCCACACCTTTAAAGCCCATCTTCCCCTCTTCTCGTGACTCTCTCTCTTAATCCTCCTGCTCCTCATCCCCATCCTCTCTAGAAAACAGCACAGAACTCAAACTTCCTAGACCTACATCCAACCTCATTCCTCCAGCAACTAAGTATGCAGATCTTCGTAAAGACTCGTGAGGCTCCTTTCTGAACACAACCACGAACGTGATCACAAACTTACGCTGCGCATAGTTACCGGAAAGACCATCACTTTGGAGGTTGAGTCCTCGGACACAATAGACAATGTGAAGAGCAAAATCCAAGACAAAGAAGGGATTCCCCCAGACCAGCAGCGTTTGATTTTCGCCGGTAAACAGCTTGAGGATGGCCGCACGCTTTCCGATTATAATATCCAGAAAGAGTCTACCCTTCATCTCGTCCTGCGTCTGCGTGGCGGTATGCAGATTTTCGTAAAGACTTGTATGTTTTCTAGCTTGTCTCTTGTCTGCTTGTTTGCTCGCTTGCCGCTTGCTAACGGTACCCGAAGTGACCGGAAAGACAATCACCCTTGAGGTCGAGTCTTCGGACACGATCGATAATGTCAAAGGCAAAATTCAAGACAAGGAGGGCATACCCCCAGATCAGCAGCGTCTGATTTTCGCCGGTAAACAGCTCGAGGATGGCCGCACGCTTTCGGACTATAACATTCAAAAAGAGTCCACCCTCCACCTCGTCCTTCGTCTGCGGGGTGGTATGCAGATTTTCGTCAAAACCCTCACCGGTAAAACTATTACTCTCGAGGTCGAGTCTTCGGATACGATAGACAACGTAAAGGGTAAGATCCAGGATAAGGAGGGCATTCCCCCGGATCAACAACGCCTTATCTTCGCCGGTAAGCAGCTGGAGGACGGCCGGACCCTGAGTGATTATAATATCCAAAAGGAGTCGACCCTCCATCTTGTCCTTCGTCTGCGTGGCGGTATGCAGATCTTCGTGAAGACTCTCACCGGAAAGACCATTACCTTGGAAGTTGAATCCTCTGATACTATTGACAACGTCAAAAGCAAGATCCAAGACAAGGAGGGTATCCCGCCAGATCAACAGCGTCTTATCTTCGCTGGTAAGCAGTTGGAGGATGGGCGTACTTTGAGCGATTATAATATACAGAAGGAGTCCACTCTGCACTTGGTTCTCCGTCTTCGTGGTGGGATGTAAATAGAGGCCGCGCCATGGCTACGATTTACGTGGCAGAGATGTGTTTTCTACAAAAATACTGTTGGTTTTGCTCTCCGGGATAGGCTTTATGTGTTTTTCTGTTTGGCAAGGCTGTTCTGGGGTGTTTTGCTTTGTTGGGGCTAGGTGATCAGTCGTTAGCGAATTGTCGCTCTGGGCCAGAGGTCAATATCATTCTCGATTCTCAATCAATCAACTTGCTTCTGTTTTGCGATAGTCTATATTTGGTGTTCGGCACGGTACAAGTGCATGGTGCCTGTTAAGGTGTGGCAGGGACATTAAGGTAGGATGAGAGGTCATGCCATTCGCTAGTCTATGGTAATATAATGCTCGAGGGAGGCAAGCACCTGGTCGCCAAGCTTTGTCATTAACTTATGTTTAACCCTACTATGTCCCTCTGAGCGCACTTGTACCCCTCTAAGAGGCCAGCCCCGGACATGCATTAAATTAGAAGTGATTCCAAGGTTGAAGCTCTGAGGACAACGCTGGATGATAAATATCATACCGGTATAAGAGGTTACGGTGTCGTATCGGATGGGTGACATGGTGCAGTAGGAGTAAAGGGGGGTAGACCGCATGGTGCAAACCTGTCATGATGCTTCAGGACTGGCTGGTCTACGAGTAGACTACCGTACTCGAGCATGATAAGTTACCGGTAGTTGTACAGTACAGGGACAAAAGGGATCGTCCGATGCCCTTTCACACCAAAAATGGGCATTTTTAAATGGACAATTCTCAAGGCTGCTTATATGAAAGCACTTCAAACGATTTTATCAGCTAGGGAATGACCATCTATTCCAACCTCTACAAGTAGAAGTGTAAGGAATCAAAGCTGTCTTCATTGTTCATGATTGCATCAACCAGAATGAAAGTGACCTAAATTTTTGTATGGGGCTCCATACAAAAAAGTACATGGCAACCAATGCCAGAAACTTAAACAACCTTTTCTCCATCACTTTATAATATTTGAGGATTCTGTGATATTTTTCATGTTATCTACAGGTTTGCTAATGCATGGACAAATTTGCATAGGTTCTCATAGACATTGCATGATGAGAGAGGGTGGTGAAGATGGGCACTTTTGGTGTAAAAAGGGCATCGGACGATCCCTTTTGTCTTAGTACTTTAGCATACCGGTAGTCTACCGCTTGCGCCCGACGCCTCAGGAGGAGAAAGTTCTCACCACGACCTAGCCACCCCCGCTATCGATGAGGTCTTATCAGATTCAGCCTTTACACAACAAAATATCGAAAAATGTCGAAACGGACTGCATGGATCTGATAACCATGTTCATGCACTGTACCGGTCAGGTATTGTATAAATATTATCTGGGAAATGTTTTCTAGTACCGGTACTAGTAGCGGTGGATCCTAAACAAACAAAAAAAAATAAGAATTGGCTAGGGCACCACGGACACAATGTGGCTCGCCATAGAGGGAAAGAGGGTACCGGGACCCCTCATTTTTTCCAACAGGTACAGCTCACCCCCTTCTCTCTCTCTCCCTCTTTCCGACCCCTTTCCCCCGTCTGCCTTCACGACTCAAGCACCACCACCACCACCACCACCACCACCGCCAACAATACCTTCTCCCCCTATCCCCCAGTCCTAGCTCCTCAAAGCGAGGTTTTATAGAGATAATCTGCAATGTCATCAGATATAATAACCATCCACTCACAGATTTCTTCAGACCTGCTACATACCCCACGTTCACCTGACCCAATTAGGCCCCCGTTTGAGGACAATGAGGTAGGCCATGAAGCGGAAGAGCCTCCCCGGCCCATAGTTGAGAAGCTTCACCTCCCCAATCGTATTGCCCTTCACGTGACAACAGATGGTCGCGACGACCGCAAAGTTGACTTTGAGTGCAACGACCTGAAATGGGGAATCGAAATATCATCTTCCTCTGCCTACCCAACCCTCCACGACGACGTCCTGTCATTCAGATACTACGGCAATGAGGATAATCAGGAGGAATATGCACTGTTCAAAGTTTGGGTCATGCTGTTTTGGTATTTTCAGTTACCCGCCCCTCCTGCACACTTGATACCGGACAAACCGGGTAGTCCTTGGGGAAGCTGGCAGGTCCACTTCAGTAACACCGGTCCCTTCTTCAAGTTGGCCAACCTGCAAGCTGTAGAGGCGGCAGGTTTGGTATCGTTTCCCGATTCCGGAGCAGCGTCCGGTGAATGGGTGGGAGCTTATGCCACAAGGGCGGGCTTCTGGCAGTTACCACCCGAGCCGTTCCTGAACCCTGTTTGTACGTTAAAGAAGCCGTTGCGCATGCCGAAGCCAGTGGAATACACTTTTACCGAACGTGTTCGGCATCCAGTTCGACCTCGCCCTCAGCCTAACGGTGACATGTATACCAGGTGGATTCCATCATTTAGGCAGTTGCTCACTTTCAGATTGGCGGACCTGGACGAGGATACGGAAGTGGTGCATAGATGGATGAACGATCCTAGGGTTTCCATGTTCTGGGGGGAGGAAGCCGATGATCCGGAAAAGACGAGGTCATTCCTGAAAAAGGGATTGGGATCTAAGCACTTTTTCTCAATGATCGGATGTTGGGACGATGAGCCTTTCGGGTATTTCGAGGTTTACTGGGTCAAGGAAGACGCGCTGGGGCGGTATGTCAGTGATGTGGATATGTGGGATAGGGGTGTGCACTGCTTGGTTGGGGAACAGAAGTTTAGGGGGCCGCAGAGGGTGGGGGTTTGGATTTCCAGCCTGGTGCACTGTAAGTTGCTCGTGGGGCGTTGTCAGGTTTGTCGCGGGGCTAATTTGCGCAGTCATGTTTCTCGACGATCCAAGAACACAGACAGTGATGCTCGAACCAAGGGTTGACAACGCAAAGTCAGTATTCCGGAGCAGACTGGCATTCAAGAAGGCAGGACTAACACGACCGCAGATTCATCAAATACCTTATGGACGCCGGTTTCTACAAAGAAAAGGAGGTTGCGTTCCCACACAAGCAGGCGGCACTCATGAAACTCAAAAGGGAAGCGTGGGAGGGACCACTGTGTTAATTTCCACACGTACCGGGTACTTGTACAAGTGCTGTACCGTAGTTTTCAGATCGGGATGGTAGACGGGAACAATTTACTGTAGATGGCTCGTTTGTAAAGCTAGTGTACAAGTACCGTAACTAGAAGAGTAGGACAGGGTCCAATTGCATCACCACAGTGACACCACGTGCATGGGGAGAGTCCTTGGCGAGGCCTCGTTGAATTTTTTTTTTTTTTTTTTTTTGCGGTCCATAAAACATGAGGAGAGCTCATCTACTGTACGAGTGGAAAATCTCCTGTGTCCTCTCCAAATCATCTAAAACCTCATTACCGCCGAACGGGCAAACGGACGAACAACGATGGTCACCGGAATCGACCCAACGGCCCTCCTCGCCCACCCCCTCCCCGTGCGCAATCTCATCCTCCAGATCCCGCCCAGAATCCTCAACCCACTCCTAACCCACTACGCCCAAGCCTTCGAGCCGCAGGACGCGGTGGTGACCTCCATAACGCCGACGCAGCTAACAGTAACCTACCTTCAGCCGCTACGCGAGGTCTGGTACAAGCCTATCCCCCGGACGGCCACCATCCCCTTCACTCCGCCTCTGCCGCCTATCCCCGCAAACGGAGCGGACGAGCAGTCAAACTTGGACTGGGAGGAAGCATGTGCTACGCGGCTCAAGGAGATGTCCGCTGCCAGCGAAAAAGTCGTCGATAACCGCTCCGACATCGTCGTCACGCGGTACTTGCCGCCGACGTCGCCGGGGTCGTTCCTGGCCATGGGCTGGTTTGCGGCACTGTCGCTTGCTATCGCGTTCTGGGTCTTCCGCGGGAGGGAGACGCCGTACGTTGGCGATTTCCTGGCGGACAAGGTCTGGGATGTTGGCTGGAAGTTTGACGTCACCGCCGTGGTGCACGCCGGGATATTGGTCAAGAAGTGTCGCGACGTGGTCAATTTGGCCCGGAGGTTGAGGTTGCACGGGGTCGATCGCCGGCGCGGCGTGTGGGCGCTCTGGCTGGTCAATGTGGCGCTCGAGGGGTGGAGGTGCGCGCAGCGTTTTGAGGGAGAGGTCGGGAGGGTGGGGAGGGCGTTGGCGGAGGAGAAGGTCAAGGGTGAGAGTCGGAAGGGGAAGTAGGAAGCGCTGGTGTAATTCTTGCTTTTGATTTTTGGTTGGAGTGGGAAGGGGGGGGGAAATGTACGAGTACATGTACCGGTATCCTACCGTACAATTTGATTATTTCCACAGTTTATATGCTAGGCTCTGATATCAATTGTGGGGGCATGACAAAGGGATGACCGGGCTGTACCGGTGCTGCCGGTATACAGTGCGACGTTCTATGATACATAGCGCGCTCGCGGGTGAAACTCCCAGAGTGCAATGGAAATAGGGTGAAACGTGATGAACAGAGATAGCTATGATTTGATGCTATCATAATATATGAATAAATGCGACCCAAACTCCATAAAAAGCATGTATTTACTTAGGCGCACCCGGCCACCAATTAGAACCCTACTTGGCCGCTTCCCGATTTCTCCACCTCCTCCTCCGCGGCCTAATCGCCCGCACTCGGCGGCCTGATGGTGACTTTATCCCCTACCGGCCTCATTGCTCCACTCATCCCAGTCGACGTCGTAGTCCTCTGCTATGGCTCCAATCTCCCTGCGCAAACCCTTTCCCTCAACGACCAACTCCTCCCACTTGTCGGCATCGAATCCCCCCTCCCGATAGAGCCTCTTCTGCCGCCTCGACACGGCATTGTGCAGGACGGACGGGCACAAGGCTTCGCGATTATTGTAAAAAAATAGGAGGCATCCGCCGACGACGGTGGATAAGCAGACGAGGTGGGTCACTGGTTCCATAACATGCCACTACGCCCCCATCACCGTGAGTGAGCATTCGATCCCTGGAATACTGGTGTTACTTGTATTATACGGTACAGAACATACCCCTAAACTAGCCTCAAGAGTCAACCAGTAAACCGCCGCCCACCACCACGCCAATCCCGCAAACCCAGCAACGGCAACCTTCTGCGCCCTTCGACGCGCGATCCTGTCACACTCGGACTTGAGCCTGGCCTGCAGCTCAGTCTCCCCCATCGCGGTGGCCAATCGCTGGCGGAGGTAATGCGTCCGCTGCTTAAAGCTGGGCAAGCTGACGGGCGTGTCACCACTCCTCTCAATCTCGACGACGAATTCCTCGTCCCTTGCCACGTCGCGGACAAAGTCGCCCACTTCGGTGGATGCGGGCCAGCGCACGTATCCGTCCTTACCGACTTTCTCGAAGGGGTTCAGGGAATCGGGGCCCCCGCCGGCTTGTGCCCCACCTTCGCATTCCCTGCCATCCCGCGATTGGGGGTTCCCTTTGCCCCTCGTGTTGATATGTCCTTCGGGGAGGGCGTCGCCGACGTTTACGACTTTAAAGGAAATGCTTGGAGAGCGGGGGGCCGAGTTTGGCGAGATTATCAGCGGGAGTTGGGCTTGGATCAGGCATTCGAGGTAGGAGAGGGGTTGCTGAGGGTGGACTAGCAGCGCGAGGGGGGAGTCGGTGGAGTCGGAGGAGCCGGAGAGTTTTAGCGGGAGCAGAAGCTTTAGGAGCCGGGAAGAGGTCGGTAGGAGTTTTCCTTGGGACTTTAATGTGAGAATTGGTGACGGGAGATGGGAAGGCTGGACGGGTGAGCTATCATACCTTTTGTGATAACGCTTGGTCCCGGAGACCCCTTTGCGGGGGGGGATTGGTCAATGCCTTCGCGGTGCCACAGTACGCTTGTTCCTATACTGCTGCTTCCTGCTAACTCTCCGACACCGCTATCACCACTCACACCCCCAGCTTTATCCTCTCCACTCTCACCCTTCTCCCCACAGTCCCCTTCTTCCCCTCCTTCCTTGCCCACACCCCCCTTCCTAATTTCACTTCCACACCCTCCCCTTTCCACAGCGCTGCCACCGCCACCATCCATAAACCGCCCCGCCGATGACGGCGAAAAGGCCCTCCCGCCATCCCCACTCGGAGAGGAAGCGACGAACAGAAAACTCTTTTGAAAATTCAAACTCGGCGGACGAGCCAGGTGCGAGGTTAAGCTCTGGGTACTGCTCTTCAAAAGCTGTCGTTCTGGCTGGAAACCCGGTGATCGGAGGAGCACGCGGTGGTTCATTGGTGTTTTTAGTGAAATGTAGAGGTGGAGGTGGAGCTATATTGTGGATGAATGGTAGGAGAGTATTCTGACCCAAAGGATCTTTTTTAGGGGGGTATTAAGGGATGGAATGAGCAGAATGGGGGGAGGGTTATGCTCTATATGTATGAATATTGATTGTGATAACGTATATCCTACCACACAGCTCTGTGGATGCGAGGGGGGAATTGTAGGAGAGGGAGGGGGGTCGCTCTGGAATCAGAAAGCGGGCACGGGAGCAAAGCAAAAGTAGCATTCTATTCTCCATTTTTATTCATCTCTATCGTTCTAGGAAAGGATAGCTTATGATCAAGCCGGCTCTGCAGCCAGCGTGCGCTTGTCGTATCATACCATGTACTGTAGCGGTAGGCCGCTCGCACCATTATGTATCGTATTGCACCGTATTGGACAAGGGATCATGGCTCCCCCAGACGCTGCCTCCTTCCACCCTTGCTTTCCTTCCCGAGGCGGCCCATCATATTCTGTCTTTCTGTCGTTTGGTCGGTTGGTCGGTTGGTTGGTTGGTTGGAGAAGGAAGGGAGGGAGGGGCTCGTCCGTCGATCGAAAGTGCTTCCAGCGGTACTCGTGCTCGTATGGTGCTCGAGTGGTTAGCAGGATATGCTCGATTGCTTGATTACTAGCTAGCTAGCTGGCAATTATGAGGGATCCGGCGAAAAACGCGGGGAGAAAGAGAGAGATAGTAGGTATGTGGTTGGTCGGTTCGGCTTTGTAAGTTTGCGACTGGGTGGGCGGGGATTGGAAGAAGAGGATACCTTGCGGGTATTCATACGTGTGTATATCTGTGGCTGGGACCAATGGTGCTCGCGGTTGTGGTATTCGGTTTGGAGCTGCAGGCGGGGGGTAACGCAAAGCCACCTCTACCCCACAATATGTGGTATCATAATATTATCGATAGCAAGTGTTACTCCAGTACCGCTACAGCCCCTTTCCCACCCCCCGCCGCCGGAAAATCTATACTCCTGGAGTATCTGGGACATCAGCGGTATGGACTGTTCTCCGGACAATGCATATACGCGGGTAATATCGTGGATCGATTACGGTGCTACTAGTAGGGCATGGGCGCTTTTACACCTTTGAATTCTTCTGCCGGTCATGGTGCACCCCCCGTGCGGATGGATAGGTGGATGGACAATGGAAGTGGGCACGGCGTTCCACTCCATTCACGCGATCCTTGGTATGATACGAGTGCTTTGGGTTATCAGTTCTCCAGGCTTTCCGACAGGGTATCTGGAGGGGCGCTGTTTTCGTGGACAAAAAAGGTCGGGCCATTCGTCCCATGGGATATGTGTATCTGCTCGTATGGCCCTTGCACCTGTCGTGTTGTGTTATATCATATCATGCGGGTATTGTACTCGAGTAGAACACTATGCTCACCGGCCGGGAGCTCCGATTTGCTCATGGGATATGCGGTGGCGGTGTAGATTTGAATCAGGCAACGGGTACACAATCATGAAACCTGACTCTGACCATCCGAACGTAGCAAAGGGCTCAGTTCCTCGGCTGCATCTGACCCAACAATGTCCACCAACCTACCCTTCACCATGAATTCGTTGTCCGAAACGTCGAAGCCGGGGACCACAACCTGTCATCGCTCCATTCGTTACCCTCACCTTCACGGCTGCGAGTGGGATGGGGGGCCGGCAGGTTAACCATACCTCTGTTATAAGTAACTCCCCCGCTCCCTCCTCCAGCATGGAAGCCTTCCAAAGCCCACCTTCAACGACCCACTGGGCCACTTCGCCCCCTTCAACATGGCACCCAACGACAAACGTCTCCACCTTCCCGCTCTCATGGATGAGCACATACCGCCCGCGTCCCCTGACTGCTGTGTGCACTATGGAGCTCCGGTTCCTGTGGAGTCGCCCGATGGGCGAATGTGCGGTTAGGAGGTAGAAGATGGACGTGCTCAGCGGGCGCGTCTCGCCATCCTTTCCCGGGAAGGGGCAGGGGATGGCTGTGGGGTTTGTATGTGTGCGTTTGAAATAGCCGCCTTCGGGATGGGGGGTTAGGGATAGGGCTGAGATTAGGGATATGGCGGAGGGGGTCTCATTGGGTGCCGGGGTTGGGATTTTGAGGATTTGAAGCGGCATCGCTTTGGTAGACTATGGTATGATATGGTGGATTGTGGTGGATGGGTTGGGTTTAGGTTTTAGATGACAGACGGTGCGTGCCCTCAGCGAGGCTTGGCGATATTTGACAGCAACGGCTGACTGCGGTCAACGAGAGTACTCGAGTACAGTAGTCTACGGGCAGGGAGCCGAGTCGTGCCGCACCTCGCTGAGGGTTCACACAATTTACCACTTGAAGGCCCTGCATCGGGAGGGCCCTGACTGTAGTCGGTTAGGGATTCTTGGGACGCGGGGCGGTTGGGTTCAATAGGGTGTTTGTACCCGGGGGTTACGGGTATACTACTGTACGGTACTGTATATCACCAAGCTGAATACACACGGCAGACCATGAGAATTGGAACGGGATGTCCAATCGCCCATATCCGGAGCCAATACGCACGATCCCTACGATCCGTGCTTGTGCTCGTACGGTGCCGTACAGTAAAGGCTTCCATTATCACCACAGACATGGAAAAGACCTTGTCCGGGCACCCGCACACCAAAAGTGGACCCCACCCAACCCAATCTCGCACGGCAGAACACCACACCGGCCGGGCACCTCCCGGACCAGGAATCTCGGGATCAAGAGTCCTCTCCCGGTTTAGAAAACTAAGGCATGCATAGGGAGGTAGCAGGGAGAGTGTGGGGCAATATGTTGTCCGGGAAGATGGAGGAGGAGGAGGAGGAGGAGGGGATTTGCGAGTTTTTCTTCTTCCTCCTTTCTCATTCTGCTCATCTAGATATAGCCGCATGATGTTTGCACTTCAACGGTTGTTATCGTTGGTGGCCACTACTTCGAGTAGTATGATACCAGTGGCACTTCCGAATCCAGTGCCGTGCGAACAGCCCATGCTGTACCTTGGAATCCCCCGTGGCTCGCCACAGCCACTGCCGAAAATGTTGGGTTCAACCCAATACCGGGATGCAGCGTTGTTGGCACTAATTGTAATACAAAGCTAGGGTGGGTAGAAATTAAGACAGAAAAAGATCGATACAGAGGAAAGGGACAGAAAGAGAAGAAGAGGGCAGGAGAAGGGGGAAGGATGAATCTCAATATTGGAAAGTCTTGAGCCGACCAAATTTCGTCGAGTTATTGTTGTCTCCACGAGGGGCATAGTACGGTATCATAGTTCTCCTGTCCTTCACAATTGAATTGTGCTAAATTGTGCTATCAGGTGATCACGTTGTGCTCGGCCATTTCATTGGGCCGTGCCACATCTAACAGCACGGCACAAGATACTTCAAGTGCTAACGACCGTACTAATATGGCTATGGAGCGGGCGATGGACTTCCAATCCTGGCTAGGCTCTGGGGAGCCGCGCCAGGGTAGAAATCTTGGGCTGATGTGCCAGGGTCCACACCCGCCTTAAGAGGGGCGTTGCTGGAGGCTGCTCTTGAAAAGTCTTCCTCCTCTCTCGCCACGAATACTCTTCCAGCGACGCCACCCATATATATCGTCACTTCCATTACGAGACCATGGCAACAGATAAGGATGACGAGCACTTGCTCCCCGCCCAACCGCACACTCAGGCTCAGGCACCGATACGGACCCGGACGGGCAAGGATTGGAAAGATTACATGTCGCCATCCAAGAGATCTCCGTCGCCCAGCGACTTGGAGGATGGAGGGAGGCTACCGGGAGATGTGGATACTCCAAAGGGCCCTCCTCCGCCTCCACCAGCCCCTCCGCAATGCCCCAGGGAAAAGCCGGTAACGTGGCTTTCCCTGCCTCGAAAGACACAACTTATCGTTCTGACCCTCTGCCGTTTCTCCGAGCCGCTCACGCAAACCTCTGTGGCATCCTATCTCTATTACTACCTATCCTCATTCCACCCTCCGGATAAGCCTCCCCCCAGCGCAGAGACGATATCCCGTCAGGCCGGAATAATAGCCTCCTCTTTCGCCCTCGCGCAGTGCCTCACTGGTATGTTGTGGGGCCGCTTATCGGACAGGATAGGGCGAAAGCCCTGCATCCTCTTCGGCCTCGCGGGGACCGCAATATCGATAATTGGGTTCGGCTTTTCCGAAAATCTCGCTATGGCGCTAACCTTCCGCGTCCTGGGCGGTTGCCTGAATGGAAACGTGGGAGTGCTGCGGACCATGGTCGCGGAAGTCGTCGTCGAGAAAAAGTACCACAGTAGGGCCTTCTTGATTATGCCCATGTGCTTTAATGTTGGCATCATTGTTGGCCCGGCTATTGGCGGGATACTGGCTGACCCTGCTAGCACTTATCCCGGGCTGTTCGGCGGGGTTGAGTGGATGCGTCGGTGGCGATATGCCTTGCCCAATCTCATCAGCGCGGTGTTTTTGTGCACAAGTATGTTATTGGGATTCCTCTTTCTGGAAGAGACGCTCGAGTCCAAGAGATATAGGAATAGAACGGATATTGGGTTGAAAATTGGACGGGGAATTACCTCTTTTGCGAAACGTTTGTACGGCGCAGTCCCTCGCAGAGGGGATTCCTCCGGAGTAGGTGGACTCGGGGAGTACCAACTCGTGACGAGCCTGGACCGTGATGATGATGGTGATGATGATGGCGATGGTGGTGGTAGTGACGATGACACCACCGTGGTGGGTTCGGCAACCCCTCCATCTTCCTCCTCCGCCTCTATTCGGTCCATACCTGTCAGGCCGAAGAAGCCTCCCACACGCCCGGCTCTCCGGGAAATCTTCACCAGGAACATCGTCTTCACGCTAATCGCCTTTGCAACTCTCCCCCTACACAGCGAAACATTCATGCACCTCTGGGGAATATTCCTCTCAACACCTCGCTCCCTCACACCCCACCCCTCATCCCTGTTCACGTTTACAGGAGGGCTTGGCCTCCCAGCAAACCAAGTCGGTATGGCAATGTCCTACCTCGGCGCTATCGGAATCCTAATGCAACTACTCCTCTACCCCCCACTCCAGGCGAAACTGGGCCTACTGCGCAGCTTCCGGGTCTCCTACATGATTTTCCCGATAGTATACTTCCTCACACCATTCCTTGCCCGCGTGCCCTCTACGTCCCCACCCGAGCAGGCGGCAAGTGGATGGCTTGTCTGGGCTTCCATTGCCGTTGTCCTGCTATTGCAAGTCACCGCGCGCACGTTCGCATTTCCGGGTAGCGTGATACTACTGACCAATTCTGTCGAGAAAAGGAGTATTCTGGGAACGGTACATGGGGTTGGGAGTTCCCTGGCGAGCGGATCCCGGGCTGCTGGTCCGGCCACGGGCGGGGCGTTGTACGCTGCTGGGTTGGAGAGTGGTGTCGTCGGGTGCGTGTTTTGGGTCATGGCGGGGACCGCCACGCTCGGGGCTGGGTGGGCTTGGTTCTTGAAGGAGGGGAGGGGGTTGATTGACGATGAGTCTGAGGAGGAGGAAGCAGTGGCTTGAGTGTAGGAGGGGCGTTTTTCTGTTTTTTTGTTTTTTTTGGATTGGCGGGACGATAGATGGTATTATGGGGTGGGCGTTTTGCTTTACTCTGGGTAATCGGGTTACCGGTATAGGGGTACGGATTATAGGTTGAATATTATTCCACCACGGCTATGTAGTGATTATAATATTTTCTGGTCCGCGGGAATTACTTGTGTATATAGGTGTAATTGCATGCAATTATATTAGAGATTACAAGTATTCACGACAATCAGGCAATCTTTCAGCCTTGTAAAGAGGCTTTCGAGTGATAAATCGTGAGAGAGGGAACCCAATACCCACAAATCACCGTAACCCCTCAAACCATAACCCCAGATGTCCGCTCCCTCCCCTTCCTCACATCCTTCCCCACTTGCTCCACAGTATTACAATCACCTAGCGCATCATACTCCACGGTCACAATATGCAAATCCGTCACCACCTCGCGAGCGCCGGCTCGAGCTGCTCAAGGAAAAAAAAAAAAAAAAGCCACATCTCATCCAAACCCCGCCCAACCTCCCACGGAACTTCCTTCCTTCAGCCACCAGTATTTTTACAATCCGGGGCCCCGGGAGTTGGTGCACACGTCCTGCAATGGTAAAAAAATACACCGTTCAGTTGTTACGAGGGATGGATAGACTTGCGATTGTAGGATTGGCGCAATATCAGTGACGCCTTCACAATGTTTACTATCATGTGTACAGTACCGGTACAGCATACGCTAAGAGCGACAACCATGGGGAGCGGTTCTTGCGGTATGTACAGTATGGCATGGAAGAATATTCTAGTCTCGCTCGAGATATCATGATGGATTAATGGTTCCACCTCAACCACTTGTGCGCGGGGGCGGGGGAGGGCGATTTGAGGTTGTGGTAGTGTGCCGTGCAGTTTTGTGGAGGTCTCGTGTCGTGGCATTTATTATCATCTTATTTTTCGGGCTTGGGCGTATGATACTATATCATTAACGCACTGGACACAAACTGCTCGCGGCGCAGCACCACCCTAACCTAGTTCCCTTCTCTTCGAAGTAATGATAATATTAAATAATGACAATATAATACCGGGGTGGTCAATTCAAGAGAAGGTCCCTGCCGCTAACTGCTTTTTGTAAAGCTCAGCATTTGAAATTGTAATATCGTCCCCTCCGGCTTTAGTAATTGGTTATTTCGGATCTTGGAGGTAGGTAACCATAGGCGTAGGAGAAAAAAGAAGAAAAAAAAACCTCCCTTATAAATATCAGCATATCATGACAGGAACTATTCGTGAGTTGTGATGCCGTATAATACCTATCACACATTAAAACTTCTGGCGGGGGTGCGGGAGGGGGAAGTATAGGGATCCCCCTTAAGTTATGAATCATCGGCTCTCACTCGATACAGGTGGTGTTCCTGCATTTTTAACTTGGTGGAGAGGCATAATATGGCTTCGTTGTGTTGTTGAATTCCGTTTTGGATATATTGGGTGGCCTAGGTAATGCAGTTAGGTTAGCTATGGCGGGGAACTCTAGATAAGGAAAAAAAAAGTGAGCCGGCTAGAATACAGAGGATGAGTGATTTTGTGTGTTTTGGAAGCCCCCTCTTCGTCTGATGAGGGGAAGAGCGCCAATTAGCAACTGTCTTGATCCTGGATACTCGGTATTGAGCAATCAAAGATGGGGAAAGGGAGGCGGGTGTGCGTGTACTACGCCCACGTGTAAAGCTCCCGTGAGATGCTTGTCCTTCTCAGGATGGAGGGGGGAGGAGGAAGAAAGTAGGGAGGGAAATGTCCACTCTTTTGACTCTCTTGGACAACCTCCCGCTTACCTTGCTAGTAGAATGAGAGCAGATTGTGACCCACTACCTTCCCGGTCGCTTTAACAGACCACAGTAATCCCACACATAATTCTCAAGACGTCCCTCCTGAGCTTGTGGCTCATTGCTCTGGACTTAGGGTGCTTGTTCAACTTTACCCCTGGGTATTCTTTAATGCCATGAGGGGTAGGACTGGTCGGCATCAGAATATAGATTCCATGAAGTATTTCCCAGCCCCGCCCTGGACGCTAGGACCTTCGGTAAAGAGCACCCGCGTTCTCAGTGACCCCAAAAACATCTTGTAGTGGTTCCGGCAGTTCCTGTCGATTCCTCCAAAGCAGTTTGTCCAAACCACAAATAAATGTATGAGCCTCGGACGGCATCTTGATCACACGCCTGAGCATCCCGATCAAATCGGGGAGCCGTGGACTCTGCCAGCAGACACCTTTCCAAACCCCTGTGGTCTTCTCTCTGGGATTTCCCTCCTTCCCACAAGGTGCTTGAGGATAGCTCCTCGTATAATGGATTCACTCCCCACCGCTCTGTGGGAAGTGAAGTCGCAGTACAAGTACTGCCGAGCAACAGTTATATCCCTTTCGCTAACTTTGTTGCACGTGCCGTCAAGCGCTCGGGGACCAATGATTACTGGCCATTAGTGATGCTGGCTTTATTCGTATTCTGCTTCCGAAGAAGTCACGTGCTACTTATCTACGCCCTCCCCGCACTCGGGCCGCTCGAACAAAATAATACCTTCTGGACGCATCCTCTCTGTAACTCCTTTCTCGAAACTTGCCGGCTTCCCGGAGACAGTGCCCACGCGATCGGGCTGGCTGGTTCGCACGCCTCGGCTCTGGCAGCGATAGCCACTCCGGAAAATGGCTATCCCCATCGGCCATTCTTGCGTTGAAATTGACAAGGTTTGTGGGATTCGTCTCTATGTAGAGCGAGCCGATTCTCAGGTCCCGCGACATCTCTACAATATTATTTAAAATGCTTTGGATCAGTACCAGCAGTCCATGGGTGAATCCGCCGAGTCGGGGAGTTTGATGGAATCCCTTGGATTTCAAGACCCGGGGCATGCTCTGCCCGTGCAGCCTTGCAAGCACACAATCATCAAACCATCTGGCCAAAGGATTTCTCAAACTTCCATTCTTCCCGAAGAGTTCTTCACTCAATTCCCATGCCATCACCGCAGGTCTGCAATTCGGTACTATATGGTGCTTGTAAGGTAGATAAGCTAGAGTATTTCAGGGACGGGTTCTCCCGGGAATTCCCAGCGCTAGTAGAGACAATAACTTTAGTAGACAATGAAACGGCAATTTTTTTCATATTGTACTACACAGCCCAATTATATCCTCTAGCTTTGCTGAATCCTCGCATACAACGCTTCCTCTGCTCCCGTATCATATACTATCCCATTAACGTAGTGCTATAGATTTGCTTTTGGTAATTGAATTGGATCCCCAGATAGGACGAGATTTTTGAATTTTAAAGCCTTCAAGACTTTCCTAGTCGGAGAGAGAAGGTGAATACTAACATCTATCCCCTTAACAATTGATGTTGGCAATGGGACCGCTCGATTACTGGGGTACGTCCGAGTGCTCGGAGGGGGACAAGGTTGACAGAGTTATTAGTATGGGTATATACACTTATAAGCCCCTCTTGCTCATAAGAGGTTTTTTTTTTTTTTTTTAGTTTTGAAAGCCCGGCATGCTCGCAGATTTGAGAACTATACTTGCTACCCACGGTAGTTTCGATCGGGCTCCGGAACAAGCAGTAAAGTTAGGCTCTGGGCGATACCGGTACCGTTCAGAAGGTATAAACTTCTGGAGAAACACCTGGACATTCACTTCCCAAAATCCACCTCGGCACTGAAAAAAAAAAACTGCCGTTGAAAAAAAAAAAAAAGAAGAAAGAAATTTCACAATCATCCCGAAAAATCTCATACCGGCAAAAAGAAAGCACCACACTCCACGGCCCAGCCTACGAGAGATTTGGGGACCTAGGACGTCCGATTATGATAATTTGGTGGAGGCGAGATGGACAGAACCGCACGAATGGGTCGCGAGCGAGCGAATCCACACGTTCCGTACAATACTCTGATCGCGATCGCACTCATCATACTCCATGAAGGGATCTGCAACCGCTGCTCCCCACTTACCACCATGCACCCCGCTTCCGGAACATCCGCTGGGTAATCCCGTTGGGGGAGCAAATACGCAGAATATAGCGGAAAAGGAGCAGGACGAACGGGAGGGGAGAAAACTAATCGATCCTCACCAGCATGCTCGATTAGAAAAGGAATGGAAGCACTCTGGAGCGTAGGGAATGCTAGCAAAAAGTAGGTATCATACCCCGTACATTAACTTGATCTTCGAGTGATAACAGGTGATTTGGAAAATACTCTCCTCGCCAAAATCGTGTGCGTCTCTGGCGACGAGGCAATCGTCCCTCTCGGATAGCCTTCGAGATGGGGGAATTGCGTTGGTAGCCTTCGCCCATAAACAAGGTATCGCCATTCGCCATTGCTTATTAGTGTTTAAAGGTTACGAGAGGTGCATGCAATTCTTACACGCAAGGTGTTGTTGCTTTTTGGATAGGTAAAGGTCAGGGGCGGACTCTCGTTCGGCCCTAGCGAGTAGTTAGGTAACTTATCGTTCGGGTAGCTGTTCTCTTTGGCTAGCCTAACATCAGTGATGCGCGTGAAAACCCTCTCATCACTTCACGAGCTTAGAACCTAATAATTTTAATTAGTGGGGGAGGAGGGAATTACCCCACACAAGAGCCGTGCTCGCTGAACCTGTTGTTTGTCTCGGCCGCGGGTTCTTGTAGCCACAGTAATGCACGATACGATAGGACTTGTGCACAGTACTTGAATGACACGCGGTAATGACATTCTTTCGTCCTTACAAGCTTCTTGATCTATTTCTCCTGATGTTTTTCTCCTATCCCTCTCTGCTGCTACTCGACGTTCCTTAAGACCTCTGGAGCACGAGCAACGTGTTTGCAGGCCCAGTTTATGGCATTTCCCGCAAAATCTGGCGCACTGCAGCCATCAATCATACCCTCGCTGAATCTGTTGGTTTCTTCCCTCATTCCCGAGGCTCTGAAAGGCGTTGGGCACTCGAGCACTGTATGGTATGGCATGGTGGTCCAAAGTGCTCGCCGGGCATAAACCACATCTCAAGTCCA